TGGGATAGTAACTGGTCCAAAGAGTGATGAAGATATCAGAACATACAAAGATGTTGTGTATGAGACATACAAGGAGGCATGTTTGGCACGTGGTATTCTAACAGACGATCAAGCTTATATTGATAGTATAGTGGAAGCAAGCTTATTTTTCTTTGGAGATCATCTTCGTAATTTCTTTTCTATGATGCTTCTGGATAAATGTCTTGCAAGACCGGAGTATGTGTGGGAAATGTGTTGTGGAATTTTAACTGAAGACATCGAAACAAAGAAAAGAAATCAGTACAACAATCCAGGTTTGTTGAGATACAATTTTTTTCCGTTGGTTTGCTTGCTTTCCGTTTCTGTTATAATGAAATAGTGTTTTTCTTTTTTACTCCAGATTTAGTATTAACTGATGCTGAGAAAAGAAATTATGCTCTTCAAGAGATAGAAGATTTGCTGTTGTGTAATGGGAGTACTCTGACAGACTTCAAAGACATGCCTAAACCTACTCAAGAAGGTATAGATCATTCAAACCGTTTCATTACAGAAGAGAAAAATTATAACCGTGATAAGTTGCGAGAAGACCATGATGAGTGGGTTAATAAGATGACTTCTGAGCAAAAAGGCATTTATGATGAGATCATTGGTGCTGTTTTAGAAAACAGTGGAGGTGTCTTCTTTGTTTATGGATTTGGGGGAACCGGTAAAACTTTTATGTGGAAAACTCTATCTGCCGCAGTTCGAATGAGGGGTTTGATTTCTGTCAATGTTGCGTCTAGCGGGATTGCTTCTTTGTTGTTAGAAGGTGGTAGAACTGCACATTCTAGGTTTGGCATCCCTATTCATCCTGATGATTTCACAACATGTCATATCGTGCCTAACTCAGACCTTGCTAATATGCTTAAGGAAGCATCTCTTATCATATGGGATGAAGCTCCTATGATGAGTCGTTATTGTTTTGAGTCATTGGATAGAAGTCTAAATGATGTTATTGGAAATGTCGATGGAAAGCCATTTGGTGGTAAAGTTGTTGTTTTCGGAGGTGATTTCAGACAAGTACTCCCTGTAATACATGGTGCTGGTAGGGCAGAGATTGTTTTAGCTGCATTAAATTCATCTTATCTCTGGGAACACTGCAAGGTCCTCACTTTGACAAAGAACATGCGTCTTATGGCTAATGATTTGGATAAAGATGAGGCAGAGAAAATTAAAGAGTTTTCTGATTGGCTCTTGGCCGTTGGTGATGGTAGAGTTTCAGAGCCTAATGATGGTGAAGTTCTCATAGATATTCCAGAAGATTTACTGATTAAAGATGTAAATGATCCTATTGAAGCTATTATCAAAGCAGTTTACGGAGAATTGGATTTGTTGCAGCCTAATAATGATCCTAAATTCTTTCAAGAGAGAGCTATATTGTGTCCAAGAAATAGTGATGTCAACACCATCAACGACATCATGCTTGAGAAACTTAATGGTAAGAATTACGTTTTAATACTATAATCTTTAACTGTATATGTATAAGAAACTTATCTAACAAATTTTCCCTAAACAGGTGAAGCAATGACTTATTTAAGTGCAGACGATATTGATCCTCAGGATGGTGCTTCATTGAACAATCCTGTCTTCACACCTGATTTCCTCAATAGTATCAAGCTTTCTGGTTTGCCAAATCACAGTCTCAGTCTCAAGATTGGTGCACCGGTTATGTTACTGAGGAATATTGATCCAAAAAATGGTCTATGTAATGGTACTAGATTGCAGATAACGCAGATGGGTAATCATATACTTGAAGCCAAAGTGATTACTGGAGATAGAATCGGAGACAAAGTGATAATCCCTAAATCTCAGATATCACCTTCAGATACCAAATTGCCTTTTCGCATGAGGAGAAGACAGTTTCCAATATCTGTGGCTTTTGCAATGACAATAAACAAAAGCCAGGGACAATCACTTAAAGAGGTAGGGATTTATCTTCCTAGACCAGTATTTTCTCATGGCCAGCTGTATGTTGCCTTATCAAGAGTCACTTCCAAAAAAGGTTTGAAAGTTCTTATTGTGGATAAAGAAGGAAAAACTCAGAGTCAAACAATGAATGTCGTCTTCAAAGAGATCTTTCAGAACCTAAGGAATTAGGATAGTTTTAGTTTTTTTGCTTCTGTTATTTAACTTTGTAGATGTTTTGTATTGTTTTTTAGAACAGCAAGTTCCTTTCCATAGTCATTTTAATCCAAACATAATCAGACTCTCTGCAACTACAGTAGTGTAAGTTTAAGAGTTCATTTCTAGACAACAAAATCAAGAAACCTTAGTTCAATTATAACTCCGATTGAGACAAACAACAACTTCAATTTGTGTCTACAACTGAAAAAACAGATCCAAAACTAACCTTATAGAAATGACAATTGCTTTAAGTGTTGTCGATTTGCAAAATTTGATCTGCAAATGGTTTCATTCATCCTCTGTTCTTCACTGATCCCCTCTCCCAGATTTCTAACAGAAACAAATTCATCATCTCAAGTGCTTTATCCGAATCCTATATGAAAAAGGTAATTGATCACAGAATCTAAATTATCTTGAAACAATTCAATTGAATTAGAATGAAGCTTACATCATAAGAAGAATTGGCGCAGAGATGTGAGCTTATGATCTGATTATCAGCTTCTTCGGTATCATCGGTAAAGCTTAAGCGTGTCAATGGGTGTTAACTCTCGGTGGAGAACGAGAATCATCGTTCTCATATGTTTTTTTTTTTTTTTTTTTTTTGTTTTTTTTAATTTATTTAAATACACAACTTATGTGTCTTTAATTTTTAAAAAAACATAATTTTAATTTTATTTGTTTACTTTATCTTCAATTTTTTAAAAATTTTTAATAAATGTTAGAATCTTTGTTATGCTAAAAACAAATTCTCTTCAAAACTATATAGTAAAAGAACACTTATAATCACAAAAACAATTACACCACTTTTACTATTTCACATTTTAATATCTACTTTTACTTATATTAACATTACAAACCCATTTTATAATTAATACACCTATTTAAATATATTAAATCACATTCTTCTAAGTATTACATAACAACCAACCAATTAAAATACCACTTATTAGTTAAAAATGATTTAATTTAAAAACCAAGTTTATACCAGTTGAACATAAAACATAATCAACTACTTAATAAGAAAACCGCACAAAATCTACGCCCGCGGGATACCGCGGGTTAAATCCTAGTTTGCAGTATATAAATGATGTCATGTAAACAACTTACAAAAGTTACGCCAAAAGAACAAGAAATTAACCTGCTCTAGTGCTCTGTGCCTGTAAAAACAAAACAAAAAAAAAAAAAAAAAAAAAAGGAAAAAGGAAAGAAACAATAGTGACAAAAAGGAAAGGAATAATGAAAAATTGGAAGGATGAAATTAATCTCGAGCAGCTCATCCGATTGCCCTCAGGCGATTATGGTGTCTCCGACTCCTCCTCACTCTCGCTCTTAGTACGATCGCCGACCGACCTCCGGAGCTTTCTTCTCTGTTTTGCTACTCGAGGTTTCTATTCTCTTACTCATACTTTTTCTCCTGAGATTTGGGCTTTTGATTTTTAGCTTAATTCTTCTGGTAAGTTGAAATAGATCGTTGAATCAATGAAATTACTTCATGGTGAATAAGTCTTTAGCTTTTATTTTTCACAAGTCTGTGATTTTAATTTTACTAGGCGAATTGGATTTGTTGTTGTAGCATCGATAACTTTGTTTCGGTTAGTTAGATGAATTTAATGGTGGTTGGGGGACCATTTGCTTTCATGGGAAACCCTAGCTGAGGGGACCGTGATTGGGATCGAAACCTAACTTGCTGTCTCCTTTTGTTAGTTCAATCTTTATTGCTGGAGATAGCTCCCTTCGTCGCTTTGCTTGGTGCCGTTTTCTTTGACATATACTTTATTCAATGTGTGAATTTGTAGAACCCAATAGTAAGTAAGCTTTTAGGTTTAGGATGTTAGCTAAGAACTTTCTGCAAGTACAAACGGAGGAATGGGTAGGGAAGGGTTTGTAATTGTGATGGCTTTTGGTTTATGACTTGTTTAAGTCGTGTTCTTTAACAAGTTGTTGATTTTTCTGGGCAATCTGATTTGAGGAGTGTGGGACCAGTTGGAATAAATGCCACTTAGTTTTTCTGTGATGGAGAGCGCAAGAGGGAGCTAAGAAAAGTAATACCCTTTCTCTTGCCCTTTTTGTTGGTCTGGGTGAAACATAGCAAAGTTTCTCTTGCTGAGGTTAATGATAAACGGGTGGGTTAAAAAACAACGTCCATGAGCAGTGTGTGGTGCTTGAAATTCTCATAAGGTTTTCCTCCTTTCTTATGGTTTTGTAGTTAATGGTGTTGTTCTCTATTAGGTATCTGTTTGGCTGGCCATACTATTTTTAGGCCTGTCTAGTCTTCTCTTATTTGATTTTGGCTTTCATTTATAATTCTTACTTCTGCAAACTTATGGTTGTTTCAGTTTCTGTTACTCTGGCATTTGGTGATAGGTCTATGAAATCAACCAACATCTTGAATGGACTGCAACATGGTATCTCCGTTCCCGTGGGACTGGGAGAATTTGATCATGTCCAATCCGTCAAAGACTGAAAATGAAAAAAGGCAGCAATCTACTGAGTGGGAATTTGAAAAAGGTGATGGAATTGAATCTATAGTTCCAGATTTCTTAGGCCTTGAGAAAGTCAGTAGTGTCTCTGCCACTAGTTTCTGGCACACTGCTGTATCAAAAAGCTCGCAGTCGACCTCTATCAACTCATCATCTCCCGAGGTCAAACGATGCAATCTTGCATCACAAAGTTCCCCTGGAGATTCTTCCAGCAACATAGATTTTGTCCAGGTGAAGGCATCTACAGCTCTCGAGGTATCTGTTGCCTCAGCTGAATCAGATCTTTGTTTAAAACTAGGAAAACGGACATACTCTGAAGAATTTTGGGGTAGCAACAATAATGACATTTCAGCAGTTTCTATGAATTTGTTGACTCCATCTGTTGTTGCTCGGAAGAAAACCAAATCGTGTGGTCAGAGCATGCAAGTTCCGCGTTGCCAAATTGATGGCTGTGAGCTGGATCTCTCATCTGCTAAGGATTATCATCGCAAGCATAGAGTCTGCGAAAAGCATTCAAAGTGCCCAAAAGTTATTGTGAGTGGCCTGGAACGTCGTTTCTGCCAACAGTGTAGCAGGTAAGACCGTGATTATTGTTCTGACTGCATTGTCTTTATTGCGAAATGATAGTTCTGTTTACTTGTCCAGCAATAACTTTAACATGCCCTGATATAATGGTAGAGAATTGATTTCTTTTCTAATTTTCAGGTTTCATGCTGTATCAGAATTTGATGAGAAGAAACGAAGCTGCCGCAAACGTCTTTCTCATCATAATGCAAGGCGTCGCAAGCCACAAGGAGTATTTCCACTGAATTCAGAGAGGATGTACGGTAAGAACCTACACCACAACTTGATATTAGTGATGTCTCCTCTGGATCTTTCCATCTGTGTATTATATCTTTCTATATCACACACACATAAAAAGCTCATATCAGGGAAATCTAATGTGAAATCTTTACATTTTCAGATCGAAGACAGCACACAAGTATGTTGTGGAATGGGTTGTCCCTTAACACGAGATCTGAAGAAAAGTACGCATGGGGTACCACTAATGAGACAAAGCCTACACAGATGGAAAGCGGCTTTACTCTGAGCTTCCAGAGAGGTAATGGCTCTGAGGAGCAGCAGTTTGCTAGTAGCAGCCTCTCTTTCTCTGCGTTTCAAACCTCTGGCGGGTTCCCAGCAGGGAAATCCAACGTTCAACTTCCTGACAAAGGTTGATATCTTCACTTCTTTACTGGTCATCTTGTATTTGTTTGGATGTTTGCTGATCCATTGGCCTTTTGTAGATCTCTGGTTTTGAAACTGAGTGATATGTTTTGGCAGGTGTGGGAGAATGCTCAGGAGGCCTCCATGAATCTCATGATTTCTACAGTGCTCTCTCTCTTCTGTCAACGACTTCGGATTCACAAGGGATCAAACACAATCCCGTGGCTGAACCACCGCCAATATTTGGCACTTTCCCTACTCATTTCATATGAAAGAGTAAGGAAGTCACTCCATAAAAAGTCGGGTTGCATTCGATGGAGTTTGTTTTCAAATAAAATAAAAATGGGTGACGTTCATTGCTCAGCTAAACCAGTTACTGGGTTAGCTCAGCTTTTCTAATACATTTCCAAACATATTAAGTCAATTATTCCTGGATTCTGTTGTATATCAACTTTGTTACTCTGTCAAACATGTCTACGACTATGTTAAAACCAGTTCAGAGATCATTGATTTTTAATAGTTTAAACATCTTTGCGCAGTGAAGACACTGAGAATTATGCAAGACAACTTCTGCTTTTTAAGAAGGAACAAAATCTAAAAAAGTTTGATTTGTGGGTATTAGAGGCCAACCATTTCAACAAACCTGAACATTCTCTTGTGGGTGAAGAAGATACATTCGACTCAACAAGAAATGTCACTATTGAGCTCCAGGATTTGGTTAGTGTAGTTGAATAATAATAAGGAATGTCATAAGGAGGAATACACAAAGCCGTTAAAGAAAGAAGAACCAATATTCACTCAATGAGTACTTTTTGTGGAAGTTGCAGAATGTTGAAGATAAATCTTGCAAGGACCTCATATGAAACACTTGGTAGGCACTTTTATAGCCATGCTCTATCTTACTTCACTCCTTAAGGTGCTTTCCGTAATATTGGAGCTCAAGACTGAGACTCAATTGGAAAAAAAAATCTGATATATTAGAAGGACCTCTGCTTGATTTTTGTACTGTGCATGTTCTTGTATTGGTGCCTAACCTTTTGTCTCCTCCATTTTGTCAAGAAGTTCCTCCAAACTGTTATAACAAGCGACAACAACTTCTCACAGACCACTTGGTGACAATATACATTAATTTCAATCCTTGTCTTTCTTTTTCTATTAACTTCAACATCAATCCATTATGCACATGGTTCTCTTTTAATTTACACTACTCGGGCATTTTTTTTTTTTTTTTTTTTGTCGTTTGAGCCTCTCTCCATATGAAATTGAAGTTTATAATTTGGTCCCCTACTCTGGGTTTGTACTTAAACCTCCAAAACTTGTCATCTTTCAACTTTTTATTTCTTCTCACTCTTTGATCTCTTTTCAATATGGATTCTAATCTCTTCCCACTTCTCATTGTTTTTTTCTTTTTTTTTTGATGTCTTTTATCTTCTACTACAGCCTCACCCATCAGACAGTAACTACTCTGATACCAAACTGATTTTGTATATATATTTATGCTAAAATTACAAAGAGCCTGATTTTGATAATATGGCTCTTAGAAACCTCAAAACTCTTGTTGATTTTGATCTGTTGCTGACGATCCTAAAAGGAGTGGAACTCTTCCTTAGTTGAAAAGATTTACCTACTCACCAAGAAATTTGATCTAGAGGTGAGAAAAGTAAATTTCAGCAGCCTTTAATTAAATTATTACAGCTTCTCCTTGATTTGCTATCAATACAGAGAGATACTTTGAAAGTAGGTATATATATAGATATATTTACTGTTTAGAGTTTTGTTGACAATGACTTGGTACTAGGATGCTAAACAAGTATAATGATAACATAGTAGCCGATTCAACGGGATCCAGGATGGGGTTTTAAAAAAGTTTGGAAAGTATCCACCAACTGAGTAACAGTTTTACAAATTACACATTACTTATCTATTTTGGTACAACATCATATGAACAGAGTGGAGAGAATGACTGCGCATGTGGTTGGGCCAGGCGATCCGAAGAGGTTGACAGAAGAGAGAGAGCACGGTGGAAATCTTGAGATTCATGGAGGACTCCTGAGTATTCTCCCACACCTGCCAAAAGATGTAACCCAATTTTTAAAGGACTAGAGATCAAATCAACAGAGATCTACTCCATCCATATATTAAAGGTCTAGTGCAGAGGTGCAGATACCAACCTTCGCCATGAAGTTGAAACTTGGACTTCCCTGCTGGGAACCCGCCTGAGGTTTGAACTGTAGAGAACATACGGCTGTTACTAGCAACCAACTGGTCCTCAGAGCCATTACCTCTCTGGAAGCTCAGAGTAAAGCCTTTTTCTGTCTGTGTAGGCTTTGTATCATAAGTGGTACCCCATTCATACAATTCTTCTGATCCCGTGTTAAGGGACAACTCATTCCACAACATATTTGTATGCTGTCTTCGATCTGGAGGAGTAAACACGTTACATTAGATTCCACTAAATGAATTTGTGTATGTATGTGTGTGTGCGTGTGATAGAGTCAGACAAAATAGACTGATGGAAAGATCCTTAGAAAATATTGATTATATCAAATTGTGGCATATGTTCTTACCATACAGCCTCTCTGGATTCATTGGAAATACTCCTTGTGGCTTACGACGCCTCGCATTATGATGAGAAAGACGTTTTCGACAGCTTCGTTTCTTATCATCAAATTCAGAGACGTCATGGAACCTGAAAATTAGAATGTGATCATCTCTACCGTATAATATAAAAAGGAGCATGTAAAAGTTGTTTTGGGATAATTAAACTGAATGGGCACTCTACAGTCAAGACTAAAGAGAATGCAACTTAGAAATTAATGGAGGACAGAACATAACCACCGGTTTTACCTGCTACACTGTTGGCAGAATCGACGTTCCAGGCCACTCACGCTAACTTTTGGGCACTTTGAATGCTTTTCGCAGACTCTATGCTTACGATGATAACCCTTAGCAGATGAGAGATCCAGTTCACAACCATCAATTTGGCAACGCGGGACTAGCATGCTCTGACCACATTTGGAATTTTTCCGAGTAACAACAGATGGAGTCAACAACTTCATAGAAACTGCTGAAATGTCATTATTGTTTCTACCCCAATAATCTTCAGAGTATTTCCGCTTTCCTAGTTTTAAACAAAGATCTGATTCAGCTGAGGCAACGGATACCTCGGGAGCTGTGGATGCCTTAAACTGGACAAAATCTACGTTGCTGCAAGAATCTCCAGGAGAACTTTCTGATGCAAGCTTGCATCGTTTGACTTCGGGAGATGATGAATGGATAGAGGTCGACTGTGAGCTTTTTGATACAGCAGTGCGCCAGAAACTGGTGGCAGAGCCACTACTGACTCTCTCAAGGCCTGAGAAATGTGGAACTATAGATTCAATTCCGTCACCTTTTTCAATTTCCCACTCAGTAGATAGCTGCTTGCTGTCATTTACAGCCCTTGACGGATTGGACATGATCAAACTCTCCCAGTCCCACGGGAACGAAGAAACCATGTTGCAGTTCATTCAAGATATGGGTTGATTTGATAGACCTACCACCAGAGCCAGAGGAACAAATCCTACAACAAGTACAAGTTTTCAGAACTAGGATTAGTAAATGGAAGCGAAAATCAAATAAGAAAAGACTAGACAATCAATCAATCCTATATATAACACTGGCTAGCCAAACAGATACCTTATCGACGACACCCTCAACTACCAATACGATAAGAAAGAAAGAAAAAAAAACTTCAGAATTTCAAGCACCAGACACGGCTTATCAGCGTTTATTGCTCACCCTTTTATCATTAACTTCAGCAAGAGAAACTTTTCTATGTTTCACCCAGACCAGCAAAAAGGGCAAGAGAGGAAGGGTATTACTTTTCTTCTCCTGCTCTCCATCACACAAAAACTAAGTGGCATTTATTGAATTGGTCCTACACTCCTCAAATCAAATTTCCATAGAGTAACTTGTCAAGAAACACGATGTACACATTGTAATTGCAAACCCTTCCCTACCCATTCCTCCTTTGTACTTGGAGAAGGTTCCTAACTAACTTCCTCAAAACCAAAGACTATAAAGCTTACAACTTTACTCAATGAATTAACTCTTATGTCAAAGAAAACGGCACCAAGCTCAGGCATTAGTGGACCTGTACGCAGCAATAAAGATTGAACGATAAAAAAAAGGGACAGTAAGTTAGGTTTCGATCCCAATCAAGGTCCCTCCTAGTCCTATGTAATGAAAGCCAGTGGTCCCCCAAACCAATAAGTTCAAACTAACAAACCAAGTGATTAAAAAAAGTTACCAATGTTACAATCAAATTCGCCATTTTGACAAAGTCTCTATACCTAGAGACCATTCACCTTGACAGTAACTTCATTGATTCATCGATCTATAACGCATAAAGGTGAATTCTGAGATAAATAACGAGAAGATAGACGCCCAAATCTAAGGAGAGAAAGTTTGAGGGAGTAAGAGTAGAAACCTCAAGTAGGAAACAGAAAAGAGACGGCCGAAGAAATCTCCGGAGGTCGGTCAACGATCGGAGAAGAGGCTTTTGACTAAGAAATACAGTGAAGGGGACGAAACGATACACCAAAATCGCCCGAGGGAAATCGAATGAGAGTAGAGTAAGTAGCTCAAAGACGCTTTTTCTTTTTCTCTTTTTTTTCTTAACTTACAAATATTTAGTTTGATGTCTTATTAAAACGAATTATATTTTTAACGACACCGCTTCAATTTTATATTGAAAGTGATTATTTAATTTCCGGCCTAATTGTATTAGAATCGTGGATGACAAAGTAAATGATGAAATATTTGTAAGTTGTAACTAATTTTAGGCTCTAGTCAGTGCCGGTCCGGTAAAATCCGAGGCCAAATACGAAAAAAAAATTGATGCCTTTTTAAATAATAAAAATTGCTAAAAAAATTTTTTTACTAATTATGAGATATTTATAATTTTTATTTATAAATATTTTTTAATTTTTAGACATTGTTTGTTAATTTTGAGACTTTTTTACTAATTATGGGATATTTTTTGTTAATTATGTGTTTTTTTTTTACTAATATTAGAGGTTTTTGGTTAATTTTGAAATCTATTTTAAAAAAAAAAAAAAAAAAATCTCCACAAACAGACCTCAAAAGTTGGAGGCCCGTACAAATGTTTCTAAAAAAATGGGCACAGAGCCGGGCCTAGCTCTAATTCTCTCTAAATAGAAATAAAATCCAAAAAAATATGTAGTATCATTTTATTAATTAAGCAAGAAACTCGATTATATTGTGGATCTATTTTTCATATTCTTATCGGCAACTAATTAAACAGCCGCTGACAAATGCAATTTGTATGTTCAAACAATTAATTCAAAAAGTCTGCAACTCTATTCATTCGTTAGAACCTAGTATACCTACTACTCATTCCTACATTCGTGCAAAGTTTTTAATAATATCAATAAACCTCTATTACTGTTTACAAAAAAAAAAAAACCTCTATTACTTTCACAAGTACACTAATACTAATATTTTAGAGTGTCCATCCCCGAGAAAATCACAATTGAATGAATGTAGTCTTGTGAAAGTGATACTGAAATTTACTAATTTAGTCATGGGGCAGTTCGACAAGATTGTTACACATTTTGCTTTTGTCCTCCTACAAAACGATGTAAATATGCATACTATAAAAGTTACACATTATCTTATCATCACCAAGAATATCTAAAGTTGGGCATTTCTCTTCATTTCCCCCAAAAAAATTATTCAAGGAAAACTATTGTCAGTCCCAAACCATGATGAATCTCCAATACCATGTATCATTCGACGATTCCATACTCCATAAGCATGCCTCCAATTCATCAAGAAGTTGATGTAAATCTAGAAAACTTGCAAGACACAACAAATTAAGCGAGGAGTGACAACATGTCTAATATATCCTCAATAATTCTTACTCGAAATCAAATAGGCAAACTTACAAATGTCGCATAATTAGAATTACACCCCCATTTGGCATTTATATACATCCTTTCATGTGTTATGAAAATGTCTAGTCTCAAACCAGTTTTTTTTTTTCAGGATCATACAAAGTGTAAGAAACCTGAGAATCTCCCTCACAAGCTCTATACGAAGAGACTCTTAAAAGTAACACAACATTTCATGACCCGTCTAGGAAAAACGCTCCGTAACACCAAGCTCACTAAGTTTTGAGGTTACTACTCGTAGAAAATTAGAAAGCTACGATTGAAATATTGACCCCATAAAAGTTTGAGCTTTGACTTTCAAACACGTCCGCTACATTTCAGTAGTTGACATGACACGCGTGTCTCTCAATTCTCGAGCCTTCTCAAGCTCTTAAAATCTGAAAATAACGATCCAATTATCGACAGCCACGTAGACATCACACGTCTCAATATCCAATCATATATGGGCTGTGACAATGTTCGTTGTGAGAATAGCAAGACCGAACCCCCTTTTTAGGTGGTGAAACATCACAGGTAAAAAAAAGAGAGATTGAAACAAAGAAGACAAAAAAAAAAAAAATTTGATTTTCGGCCTCGCGATCGTCATTTCAATTCCTTATTCGCTTCCAAGTGTTTCTTCTCCAGCGTAATCATGGTATGAATGCGATCTCATTCTTATCGTTTGTTTTGTCGTTTGGATAATGAGGATCTGAATTCATGTTTTGATTGGCTAAAATTATGCTTTGTATCGCCGATCTGATTCAATATGTGTGGTATTATCAATGATTTATTCTTATGTTTGAATTTTGAATCATGGTATATATCGCATCATGTCAAATTGAACATTTAATCTGTTGATTAGTTAGAAATGATGGATCTGTTTTCGAAATTTGTGTCGGATTAGCTGAGTTCTTATCTGCATTATTATGTGTATTGTTACTTTGCTTTAGATGCATGGCCGAATTTTTACCTGTCCTTTGCCCAATTTCTCTGATGATTTGCATAAATACATGATTTTGGTACCCAAATTTGGATGTTTTGTTGAGTGTGTAAAAAGGAGAGATTCTGATTTGATATATAATGATGCTTATTGGATGGGGTTGATATTGATAATTGTTGCAGACAACCTCAAAGCGACTCGCAGACAGGAAGATTGAGAAATTCGACAAGAACATATTAAAAAGAGGATTTGTTCCTGAGACCACCACCAAGAAGGGCAAGGATTACCCTGTTGGTCCCATCCTCCTCGGCTTCTTTGTCTTCGTTGTCATTGGATCATGTCAGTACCTCTTCTTCTACTTCCTCATTCCCTAACTTTACTTGCTCAAAACTTACTACTCTATGTTGAGGGCACCAAATAGCTTCTTTAAGTTAGGCTTCATGCTTCCTGATTTTGACATTGGTGTTGGTTCTACAATTTCTTCTTTGTCCCATTAATAATGAACATAGTCTGGAATCTGAAACTGAATCATTTGATTATACACTGTGTATGTTTCTATATTTATAGACCTTCTATATGCTTTGTTACAGCTCTCTTTCAGATCATCAGGACCGCAACTAGCGGAGGAATGGCATAAACCAAATCACAGTCAAGCTAGAAGAAACAGTTTTCAAAATGGAGAATCTTCTTCTGTCTCTCCTCTCTTTTACTCTCCTTATACTGTAGAATGTGTCAACTTTCTGTTTACTATATCATTGTAATGAAGAATCTTTTCTTTTAAGTTATTATATCCAACGCTAAGTATTTTCTTCAGTTTAGATGCTGTTGTTGTTATGATTTTGTTCACTTGGTCCGCCACACGTATGTGATACCAAAGAGTTACATAGTTCCTTCCGCACTTTGGGTACTTTTTATGAAACTTTGCTCACAAGTTTAAGAAGTGCCACACAACCCAAGTTATTTATTACATACAACACATAACGTTTTGTATATTATTACAGTCTTGAAAATCAAAATCGAAATCAAACAACAAAAAGAAACCAACCGTGTGTGAACCGTTCGAATACAACCTCAAAGATGGCCAGGGAAATTGAACCAAGAGAAAAGATGATCAAGCCCTAGCTGTAGGGGAGGGATGAAACGCTGTTCCGCAAGCGATCCAAAGTCTTTTTCTCCCACGAGGAACGGTGCAGCCAGGGACCTTGGCCCATTCCCTTGTAACAGCATTGTAGGTTATCAAACGGTTCATCTGTCTGGACCTCAAGGACAATAATATCAGACAACCTTTGTTGCCCAGACAATTCATCCTAATGTGCTTTCCGTAAAACTCCAAGCACCATATGTTTGGCATTCTGTCAACCTCCTTCCACAACAGTGTCATCTTCTGCAGCTCCCATATGCAAACGCAAGTGGCAGCGTTTTTAGTCAGTAGACCCACCAGCATCAACCGCTCTCCGCACGCAGCCAGCGTGTGATCGCTCAGGTCTGGTGGGCCCGGTATGATGAACTGCTTCCATTTCCCAGAGACCATGTCGTAGGACAATATCCCTTCGGGATCTGTTAACATGAAGTAAAGTGTGCTGTGGATAGCCACTGGCTGTGACTTAAAGTTGAGCAACACCGGGAGCTTTATGTTGGACGGGATGGTCCCTCGTTTGGTCCACACATGACTCAGGGAATCATACACTTCGTACTCTCCTTCACATCCAACCCACAAGACCTTATACCCATGACTGGTGGAGTTTCCATTCAGAGTCATTCCTACTGCAACACGAGACCAGACCTTGAACGACCTAGCAGGCAACTCTCTGAAAGACTTGGTCAGCGGATTGCTCACATAGAAGTTCCTATGACCAATGTCGAGGAAGCACACTAGACCTCCTGCAGAAGCCATTGGCAAAACAATACTCTTCTTGGGTAGTGCTGGGATAATTGGATGGTGCCATTTCTTCAAAGAAGGGTCGTAAACTTGTCCCGAGTTGACATTCTCGTGGGTTATGGTATAGAACCATGGGATGGTCTGAGGAAACTCAGTGAAGCATCTGGAGAAGCTATCTGACTCAATAAGAGCATTCCATTTACGGCAAACTGAACGGAACTGGAAAAATGTAGCAATTGGTAGCCTGGAAACAACAGCTTCAAAGAGATCTTGAGGAAATTCCTGCCAGATTTCTTGATCCATGTTTCCACTTATGTCATCTCCTTCTGTACATGATTTCCCTTGATTCCGGTCTTTTCGAGTTCGTTTGACGGGAGGCTTGACAGTTTCTAACATCTTGAAGATCCCAGGCCTCTTTCCAGCAGCCATTACAATATCACAACAATCATCAGCAGAAGTTTCCTCAATACAGGGCAAACACCATCTGCCATAACAGAAAACAAAACATGGTACTATCTGTCAGGAAAACGACATAGTATCCTCTTTTCTAAAAAGGAGATCATTACACTGGAAACAAAGACTTCCCATCAAATCAACAACAAATAAGTATACCAGAGAAGAGGGGAGCAGTAAACCAGCTAAAAGAATAAACCTTTTCTAGTCCAGAAAAGTGGCACATAAACACGTACAATTAGATGCTTCAAGAGTGAAGCTCGAGTATATGCGAAGGGTAAGCTTTTAGTCAGGATTCAAAGAAAAATAGAAAATCAGCAGGTACTCGTCACAAGTGGCTAGTGGGTATGTATTTTTAACATGGGACAGTAATGATGTGCACGAGCTTAAGCAAAGGGGGACACTTTCAAGCAGACTAAACTAAAAGACAAACAACCAAATAAAAGGGGTGCTTTCAAATGATGCACAGCAAATTTTGCCAAGAATATCAAAGTAAGGAGGGCTTTAAGGAAATACTTATCTATTGACCTACAATGACAGACTAGTGTAATAGTAAGCACAAGATTCGATGAAATAACAAACACTGGAGGCTTCGGGGAAGCAGAAGAATAGAATGAAGAGAGTTTTTAACAAGCATAATGACAAAACGATGCGCTTTATATGACCAAATCGAATCAATTCCTAGATCAATTTTCCTCTTTCAGCTAATTACAAAAGCAAAAACAAAAGAATCACCATCAGACCTTAGACATATGGGGATTGCATGATTCTAGGAAACAATCGAAATTGGAACCTAAACAAAACGGAGCAATCAAAAAAGCCCTAAACACATTACGAGGTTGCCCCAATTTGCAAAAATCCCCACACACATAGATCTAGTCAGAGACAGAGAGAGAGAGAGAGAGAAAGATATTCACCCGTTCTGATACTGAGGATGGTTGAGAACTAAAAACGACGGAGAAGAATAAGAAGAAGAAGGAAGAGGAGGAGAGCCGTTGTGCAAGAGCTCTTGAAGCTGACCGATGAGCTGTCTAAGCATGGCAAGCTCTTCTTCCATGCCCCAAACAAGAGGAGAGAGCTAAGAGAAGAGATCAATGGCAGCAGCAGCCATTTAGCATCGTCGATTGAAAATGAAGAACTTTGGGGGGTTTGGGGATTTTAACCTCCCACCATCATCTCTGAGTCTCTCTCTTAAAACAAAACCATTCCTTTGTCTCTCTAATTGTAGTATTATCTCTCTCTCAGGACTCAGATTGAATTGTCTTTTTCTCTCTCTTTTGCTTCATCTTTTTCCATGGTCAGTTGGCCCCATATTATTATTTCTTAGCAATTATTCCTCCCTTCTCTATCTTTTCTTTTTCCACTTTTGCCCCTCTCTTTTTTTTTTTTCTCTCTCTCATTCACTTTATTCTTTTGTACGTCATATTTTTTTTATTCAATTTCTAACAACATACTACACTATAGTTTCATTTCATTTTGTTGTAATCGAAATAAAAATGTTTCTAACAGAATAAAACAAATCAATTTTTATTTCTTGCCAAAAAAGAAAGACGCGTGCTTGGTAAACTAAACAGAGATGATAATAATGGGGTTTTCTTTTTCTTGATAAAGAGGATAATTGAGGTTGCGGCAATTATACTAAATCATGGTTTCGTCCACCTTTGCTTATGAAATATTTTTTTGTAATAATACAAAGAAAATCTAACTTTTTTTTCTTACTAATTTAACATATTTATATGAACGGATTTAACGGCCATCAATTTTATTTTTTGATGAAGATTTTGTCATAATTTTACTGCATTTTCGGCTTTTTAACTCTAGGAAAGACAAGACAATTTGAATCTTATTTTGTGTCATCGTTCGTTAGAAGAAGACTGCGAACAGCTTGATTCCAAAAGTCACTGAATGTGCAAGTTAAAAAGAGGAAGAAAATGTGAATCGAATGTAATAAATTGCATGTGCATAATTTTTTGCCTGGTTATCTTTTTCTTTTGGTGTAATAATTATATTTTCAAAATCATTCCACAGAGAATGTAAAGTAGTCGTAAAGCGTGGGGGTTCATTTTTCTCATCCCATCAAATATGCTTTGTTCAATCATGTCACTTCCATTTAACATAGCAATTACCAATATATTAAAGAATAATCATCATCTTACTCATCATAACCTCTCTCAGTCTTTCTTTTTCTCAAACTATTCTTACATATATATATATATTTTTTTTTTCTTTCCTGTTCTTACATATATATTGTCCAATTGCTATAAAGCGGTAAAAAAAATTTTATTAGTCAAGAATAAGACTAAACTAAGAGAGATTTTGGTTCAGTTATAAGTATGATTGGTAAAAGATTAAAGTTAAGTAATTGAATACAATAGATAGATTCTTCAACTATGAACAAGTTTCTTCGTCAGTGAACAACATTCGCCAAGTAAAGCATATTTCTCTCAACTCTTGGACTCAAGTTGTTCATGTTAAGACTATATCACGTTCCTACCACCAACAGCATGGTCTCTCCCTACAAATCTCCATCAGTCGAACCACACTTGGACTTAGCCTCCGTCTATTCAACTAAATCCTAAACCGATCAAATTCGATCTTTCGTTCACCGAACTATTTGGCCGAGGAAAATAGACTAATCCAACAGGAAATAGTTTAACGGAACTTGAATTTGGTATCACATATGATATGACGAACCAAGTTGAGACAAGTCAACAAGAATACAAAAAAGCATAACAACAATGGCAAACAAACTTGAGGACAATAGTAAAAAGGGGATATTTTTAGAAAAAGACTCAAAATTCTTCATAACATGTAGTCTACAGAAAGTAGTCGCATTCTACAGTATAAGGGGAAAAAGAGGCAAGTCAGAAGAGAAGAAGAAGAAGTGATATTCAATTTTGAGAGTAGCAATCTTCCAGCTTGAATGTGATAGGGTTTAAGCCATTCCTCCACTAGTTGCGGTCCTGATGATCTGGAAGAGAGCTGTATACAAGGTTTAATCAAATGATTCAGATTCCATAACAGGTTCAATAAAAGGGGAGCATAAAAGAAATTTGAGAACCAACGGAAACCAATGTCTAAATTTGTACTTAAAATCAAGGAACACAAAGAAGAAGAGGTACTGACATGATCCAATGACAACGAAGACAAAGAAGCCGAGAAGGATGGGACCAACAGGGTAATCCTTGCCCTTCTTGGTGGTGGTCTCAGGAACAAATCCTCTTTTTAATATGTTCTTGTCAAATTTCTCAATCTTCCTGTCTGCGAGTCTTTTTGAAGTTGTCTGCAACCATTATCAAATCAACCCCATTCAATAATCATCATCATTATACACAATGCCCATTAGTAATGGTTCTTTCCAGATCAAGCATATTAACCTATTCATGTAATAAACTGGGCACGGCCAGGGTAAGATTTGGCCATGTATTTAAATCAAGAAACATTACATATAATGCTAATTAATCCGGATTAACATCTCGAAAACAGATCCACATTGTTTTTGCATGATTCGGTTTAAGAGATACAATGATTTTGGCGTGATGCGAAATTGCCCATGATTCAATATTCAAACATAGATTAAATCATTGATATATATATATAAGCTCATAAGACGATCAAATCCTCAAATAATTTCGGACATGCTGAATCAGATCGGAGGTACAAAGCATAATTCGAGCTAATATAACATGAATAGAGCGATAAAAGAGATCGCAGGCTATACCATGATTACACCGGAGAAGAAACGCTTGAAACGAACAGGGAATCGTGAGTCGAAGAAAAAACTTGTCTCCTTTGTCTTTGCGTTTTCTATTTTTTTTTTTTTTTTTGGTTTGACTAAAATTGTCTGGCTGTTTTCAAAATACTTGTGTCACGGACCTTAAAAGGGGATCGGGAATGCAATTCAACCACCGTGAACGTCGTCACAACCATTCTATGATTGGTCCTCGAGACGTGTGAGGTCCACGTGCTGCTCGCTGATTGGACACCTATAATTGGGCTTTGAAATGCTTGAGAAAAAAAAAGCCTTTTCTCATGTCATGTGTGGACAAAATTTGGACGTAAGGAGGTCAATCTGAAAATCAGCACGGACGTGTTTACAAAAAGTCAACAAACACACTCACGTTTAGGGGACCACATTTCTATAGTCTTCTTCGACGTGAATTTGGTTTGGATATTAACGCAATTGCAAGACATCCGGTTCTGTTTCTTGATTCGGTCCGATCATTTGGTTTCGGTTTCAATAAATGCATATGTTTTAAGTGTAAAAAGAAGGGGAAGAGAAAGTAAAAGCTATCTTCAACTTTATATCACAAAGCCAGTGTATGTATAAGTAGTAGTAATGTTCACTTCCCTATCTTGGACCATGATGATGACAAAGAAACTGCTGCACTGTTCTCTAATACAAGAAGAATCCTAAATCATGCACACACACTTTTTACACACATACTATGCTGCTCTCTTCCCTGTCCAAAGCAACTCTGAATATATTCCAGCTGCTACTCTCATCTACAAACCAAAGTTTTGGTGTGTCCCAATCAGACAAGAGAAAAATGAAAAAAAAAAAAAAAACTTTACAGGAGAAACTGGTCTAAGTTCTTGGCCTGGTCACACCGGCCTTTCTATATACACTCTTTTGCAATCGTCAATCTGTGTTTTCCTACAAACAAGTTCACATAAGGCGTTACTGTCAGTTGAGAAGACATGTTTTTAGGTGAGAAAATATATAGAGAGGAATATAGGCTTACTACTACTTCAAGATGCATAGGAGACACGAGTTTTTGTGTTTCCTTTGCCGTTCTTCTTCCAGCCCTTCTCCTCTTATGATTCTGTATCTGAAGGCGAATTGAAAAAGCGAGAAACTTCCCTGTACAGCTGCTCTGCTTCAAAGGGTTTTGATACATACCCATCCATTCCACACTTTAGACATTCTTCATGCGTTGCTTGGATCACGTCTGCCGTCATTGCTAGTACCGGAAGATGCCAGCTTGTTTTGTTACCGTTCTCTACTATCAAAGCCTCCCCATTCTTGATTCTCTTGTTCATCTCCTCTTCCATATCCCGTATTCTCCTCGTAGCTTCAAATCTGCAGAAAGAAAAGGCAAAAAAACCATCTCAATTTTTTGTTACATATTTCAAACATAAAACAAACTAGAATACCAATCAGACATACCCATCCATTTCTGGCATCTGAATGTCCATGAAGCAAGCATCAAACTCGTGAGGTGGCTTAAGCAATGAGATTGCCTTTATCCCACTCTCAGCGCAGACCACATCAGCTCCATACTTTTTCAGAGCTCCCGCTGCCACTCTGAGGTTTACGTTGTTATCATCCACGATTAAAATTTTTCTACCAAGGAGAAGATTCCTCAAAATCAAAGCAGGAGGTCCCTTGTGCTGAGGTGGTTCTCTGATTCCAATACCCAATCCCCTCTGCAAAGTTGCTGCTAGCATACTCGCCCTCAATGGTTTCACTATCACTATTGGAGGATCTATACCGGTGCATAAAGCCTCTGATATTGACGATTCTACTGAGTTTGCTAACAAAATCAACTTAGGAGAAAGGAAAAGAGGGTCTTTCTGCAGCTTTTTAATGAACACCTCTGCTTCCTTATTCCATATTTCTTGCTCTATGAGTATCATATTCACAGTGGTAGTACCAATCTTCAGATAACGTAGAGCCTGTTCAACACGTGGAACTACTTCAACTCGAATTCCCAGGCGCTGAAAATGGTACCACGAGACTTTTGCCCTAGCAGGCCTATGGTCCACAACCACAGCTTTCATGCCCCGAAATTCCGAGAATATGGGCTGGTTATTGTTCTGCGGGTCATTCTTTCTTTCAGTTGTTTGCATCCCATTGGAAAATACAGCAGTAAATGTGAACGTGGACCCGACCTTGGGAGTACTCGAGAATCCAATTTCTCCCTTCATCAGTCCAACTAGACATTTGCTTATGCTAAGCCCAATTCCTGTGCCTCCATGGGTCCTGGATATGGATGGTCCGACTTGCATGAACGGCGTAAAAATTCGGGACTGCGCTTCTAAAGGTATCCCTACGCCAGTATCCTCAACTGAGACGATTAGGTTGATATCAAGGGGAGATGGTTCAAAGCTCCGATGCTCATTGGAGAAAGCTTTAAAGTTTTCCCAGCTCCTCTGCCGGTCTGCAACTGGAAGCCCGCTCAGTGTACTTTCCGGAGACGATGCTGTCTCTCCATCGATAGATTCAAATAGCTCCTCCACCAAATGGACAGTTACAAAGATGTGTCCTTTCTCAGTGAACTGCAAGAATATTTATAAATGGTCAGCTCCGTTGATCAACTAGGATGCAAGGAATGGTCAACAAAGAACATAACAAAATCATTTACCTTAATGGAATTACCCATAAGATTTGTGAGTATTTGTCGAAACCTCCCAGGATCACCAATTAACATATCTGGAACACGATCAGATATGTATACTGCCAACTGCATCATCAGCAACACTCAAAAAATCAGTACGAAAGCCTTTCTATTAGTTACAACCCTTGCTTTGCAGATCATATAGTAAGTTACCTCTACCCCCTTTTGTTGGGACTTGCTCGAGAAGAGTGACAGGACATCATCTAATATTCCTCTCAAATCAAACCGCACCTCCTCAAGCTCAAGCTTTCCAGATTCAATCTTTGCTTGGTCCAAAACCTCATTTATTAGCGAGACTAAAGCTTTTCCACTTGCCTGTGCGGTCCTAACATAATCCTGTTGCGTAACATCTAACTCTGTGTCCATAAGCATATGCAACATTCCTACACCCCAGATCAAAGTCAACATGAGATCAAAACTTCAAGACATTTGGTTAAGTTTGTTCTTGAGAAAATATGTGCATTCAAGGAACAAAGGTGTGAGAAGGAGGCAACATAGTGGCCAATTCGATACTCACCTAGAACACCATTCATTGGAGTTCTGATCTCATGTGAAACAGTGGCAAGGAACTGCATAAAAACAAAGTTAGATTACAACTCTTCTCTCTGACATAGAAAGCTTAATATGCTGTGGAAATTTATCAACTGAGGATGATGTATGTACCTGTGACTTTGCAACATCTGCTGCTTCAGCCTTTTTCTTGAGCTGCTTCATTTTATCACAATCTTCTTCAACTTTGTGTATTCGACTCACGGTTGCATGGATTATATGTGCAACAAGCAACGCAATCACAAGGATACCGAATGATGTCACCATTGATAGCACTGGCCATGGTGGTTTCTGCTTAAATCTACAAGAGGAAGAAGCTCACAACAGAATGTTAACACCTGGATTCTTGCAAACGAGAAGAAATTGCAGACATATGATGTATGTGCCACGTACCTGCAACGCATTTCATGCTTTCTAAATGGATCGCCAAAGATTAGTGGACTAACACGTTCCAACCCATCAGCCGACACATTTGAACCATACATGCTAATCGGTTGAGAGTGATTGGTGGTATCGTATACATTGACAAGAATAGTTTGCTTGCTAGCCAGCTGTTGAAGCAAGTTTTCCACCAGGGACTCAATGTCAAATACTCCACCGAGATACCTTCAGGGGCATCAAAAGAGATGAATGAGCAAAAATAATATCTGTAAATCTTGTGTGTGATTGCGTGAAATATCTAACTCCAGTGATTTATTTAGACGCCTATGCTACACACCCATTAGTAGCCTCAATTCTCTCTTTTGGCGTTGCATTGGAGGGGAGATCTCTCTTGTAGACTGCAAATGTCAGGATCACCCCAAGTCTATTTGTCTTTATCAATGGGAAAGGAGCTGTCAAAACCCCTTTACCTGAACTCCTGGCCCGCAAAACATTTTCACGATCTTCCTGTCAAGAGGAATTGAGTGAGATTAAGTATCCGTTTAACCAGTGCTCTAAACTTAAAATAAAATGATCACAACAACTTAATCAGTATGCAGAGTTTGAAATATGAACTAGCCATGTCGGCAGAATTCACCCGGTAGTGAGTGATTGTAAACTACATAGAAACAGTGAAATTAGAACCAGTAAAGGAGCTTACTTTCCCAGACAGCATATCAAGAGAAACCACGTGAGAAACAGTGTCCTGAGCAAAGATGACTGGAGCATACTCCTCTTGGACAGGGGATGGTTCTAAAGCTTCCAGGTCATAGTCATCCTTGTGAACTGGGTTTTGTTCAAGAGAATACATCTTCCTAATAGTCCAACCTTGTTGCCTCTCGAATTCTTCCCTCTCTGAATGGAGCACCCTCATAGCATATGCAACCCCGCTCGTAAGAGGCCTCTCAAAGGAAGTTCTATCAGTGTACTCTGAGAATGTTCTCTACACAAAGCTTCTTGATGTTAGTATACTGTTCACTAATACTCAAGAAGGTAGGAATCAAGCTACCAAGTGTAAGCTAAATACCAAGACTGTAAGCAACAATCTCCAAAACTGTGAATCTTAACTGAAATTCGAGAGCAAGTTGAATGAAAAAAGCTTCCATATTTAGAAGATAAGTGTCAAATCATCCAAGGACCGTTCATATACTACACCGTAGGAACTAACTTATGTTCTACAAGCAAGACTAGATCTCAGGGAATCAATCAAAATTCCCAGAGGATGATAATCCAAACAGATTGGAAGCCAAGAAGATGCGGAATCGAGAATACCTGATCGATAGCAGAAGGAATCTTGCCATGGTGAAAGGTTGAGATCAAGATAGACATGGCTTGAACATGATTCATGCTAACGTTGAACTGATCCTGCAGCATACGAGCTCTCTCATCGCACATACTAGCTAGCGTTTCTTTCCTCTTCTCCATAGCTTGGGAGCTAAAGTACCAGAACATCCATATTGAGACCAATACCCAGAAGACAACCCAAACCACCACAAGCTTCCTCCACCACGCCTTGTTGAATTTAACTGAGCCAAGAAACTGATAAGAGAAACTCGGGATCTTGAGTCCACTGCTGGAGATCTTATTCCAGAACCACATCTTATTCTTCTTCTTCATCGTTGTCATCTTCGTCTTCTCAAGATCACCGACAGAGCCAATCAAAAGACCAGACTTGTTGTCCTCGATCCCATTATCAACGAACCAAGAAACAAACCAGCAGCATAGCATCCAGAAGAGGTGCCCAATCTTGACACCAAACCCTAGCACATGGAACAGACTCATCCACCACTTGAATACACGATCAACCCCAAGAAACAGAGTCCAGCTCAATTCAACTCAGCAAGACTCAGAGAAGCTCCAAGAACCAAACTGTACAAAAGGGGACGAATCAGAGAATCCAAAAGGAAGAATTTTTGGGGGTATTTATTTATATCCTTGTAGGCTTCCCACAAACAAGAAGAGAAAAGGAAAGCAAGACAGAGGAACGTGTCAGATTAGACAACCCAAAGGCTGAAATTGAGAGATCAAAGTGGTTACTTAATCAAAGATGACGAAAGATAAGAGAAGAAGATAACAACAAAAAAAAAAAGGTAGAAACTTTGAACAGGAACTTAAAGTTTCCAAAGCGAGATTCCTCGAAATCCAAAACAGGAAACAAAAATTCTACAGAGGGCGTACGAAAATTCGCTAGAGTTTGGTCCAATACAACAGAAATCTTTGAGTGTGATGATGATGAAGAGAGAAAGAGAGCGAATAAAGCAGCGAGAAGAAGAGGAGAAAGTGAATAGGAGCTGGAGACTTGAGTGGATTATCTAATGGAGAAACTTAAGAAAGAGGAGCAGAAGTAGAAGTAGAAGAAGAAGAAGAAGAATCTATCATCGGAAAAAGATGAGAAGAATATGGTGGAAGACAAATGTCTGCTTCCTTCCTCTCTCTCTCTCTCTCTCTCTGTTATCTGATTATCTTTCTTTTCTTTTCTCATTCATACTTCCAATATTAAATATTTTAATCTTAAGCTGCATATGTACTTCAAATAATATACAGATATATTCAAACACAAAAATTATAAAATTAAATCCTGATGATGATGATGATGATGATGATGTTAAAACTCGATTTCTAGAAGAAATGTTCATAGTTGAGATTCTTGGAGTTTGTTTAGATCTGATTTTTAGTAAACAAGTTTAGAACCCCATTAATACTACTATTAATAACACATACACCAAATGATTGGTAAAATAACTTACCTCTTAAAAAAAAAAAACACTAAACGGCGCAGGAAAAAAAAAAAGAAGGCTAATGGGGCCCACATGAAGGGAACAAAAGCATATATGGTCTCAGTTCTCACCCTCCAATAATAAAAATGGAAAATAAAAATTAAAAGGCGTGTTAGAATTTAATTTATTATGAAATGGGTTTTGCAGTAGTTGGTAAAGTGACAAAATTGTTTGGCCATTATCAAAACTAAACTACACCAAAAGAAACCAAAGCTCCTCTTATTAGTCAAATAACCTATAACTCGGTTTTTCTCCACTTCCTTTTAAGAAACAAGTAAACAAATGATGGCTAACACAAAATACAGAAGCATTTTTCTCTTGGTACGTCATCTGTTTTACACGTGTCGATATCTTAAAGCATAAACATTTCAATTTGTTTTTTAATTATTTGCAATTGCTACCAAAATTTTATTATAAAAATGAGATTGCTTGAAAGTTGAAACACACCAATCAACGGTTGTTCTCTCACCCATGAATCATGCATGATCCTTTTTCTTCCACCCCGATCGATCTCCCAGATTCAACAAACACGGTTTTTACTCATTTTGTTTTAGATTTCTTATACTTGTACAGTTCAAGGGTTAGTTCACAAGTTTCTCTCTGTCTCATTAAGATGTATGTATTGTGATTTTCGTTTTAAGTATTTCACAAAGATAAATTGTTTTTAATGTCTCTCTATTTCATTAAGAATCAATAACTTGTTTTTATTTCACAAAGATGTATGTTCGTTCAAATGAAGTTACCAATTAAGTACACTATTTATTCTCCGAAATATATTAATGGGCCAAGAAATCATATAAGTTAAGGCCCATTTAAAAGTATCATCAAGACCTTTTTCAATATCGGTGTCTTTGTGTCTGTTCGTATATTTTATCTCACCCTCTCTATTCTCTCTCTCTCTCTCTCTCTCTCTCTCTCTCTCTCTCTCTCTCTCGCCTGTAGTCTGTAGAAAAAGTAGGACGGAAGAGCCAAGGATCAACGAAAGAAGAGATGGATCCAGACGCAGTTGCAAAGGCTTTCGTTGAGCACTACTACTCCACCTTCGATGCAAATCGTCCAGGTTTGGTTTCTCTGTACCAAGAAGGATCCATGTTGACCTTCGAAGGCCAGAAGATCCAGGGCTCTCAGAACATCGTCGCTAAGCTCACCAGCCTCCCTTTCCAGCAGTGCAAGCACAACATCACCACCGTCGATTGTCAGCCTTCTGGTCCCGCCGGCGGTATGCTCGTCTTTGTCTCCGGCAATCTTCAGCTCGCTGGTGAACAACACGCTCTCAAGTTCAGCCAGGTTTTTTTGCCTTATCTCTTTCCCTTTGTTTAGATCACTTCGATTTTTACTGTTTTCCCTGAAATTCTGGGTGTTGATCATCTGCGATAGGGTCTTAGGGTTTTTATTTGTGCGATTAGGTCACTAGAACCTTGAATGGTCTGGAATTGTCTCGAAATTTTAAGCCTTCCTTGATGCATTTAGTGATAGATCCGTAACTAGGTTGATAATGTGTGATAGGGTCTTAGGGTTTTTATTCGTGCTTCTCTGTAGATTGATATGCCTATTGTCACTAAAATGCTTGAACGATCTCGAAATTTTAGACCCTCCTTGATGCTTATAGTGATGGATCCATGATTAGGTTGGAGTTTCCCCCCAATGGTTGCGTACATGTAATCTCGTGTCATTTAGATTTTTTCTTGTGGAGCTTCTATCTCCTTGCACTTCGTGAATGTAGCATTGGAAAACTGCTATTTGCCATGATTCTGCTAGGTTTTGTCAACTATGCTTATATGTGATCTTGTTGTCTCAACTCTATATAGTTTGTGATGCTTGTAGGGTGTGTATCATCTGCCGTAAGACATTATTTTCTCTTTTTAGTGTTGAACGCTCTTTACTAGATTTGTTCGATAATATGTTCGATAATATGTTTTTGGCATTGCCTCTTAGTTCTTCATATCAAGGTACTAGTTGTATTCTTGTTATCATGTTTGTGTGAACATCAAACTTGTGGAATGTATGCATCGAGCAAAGTGGGATGAATTCATGTCAACTTGACCTACTTGTAATAAGCTACATATGCATCTCTCGTGTTGTGAATCACGCACTGGATCCAAGCGTTTGCTGTTTGAATTTTGCCTGATTCCTGAAATACTTGTATTTTGTGTCCAGATGTTCCATTTGATATCGAATCAGGGAAACTACTACGTGTTCAATGATATATTCAGGTTGAACTATGCCTGAGGAATGCAGTGCCAGGGGTATATGAACCATTTATTGGAAGCCGAAAAGAGAGTGGTAGAAGTTTGGGACTATTCAAGAACTGTTTGAGATGGTTTTAGATTTGGAACATGAAGTTTGTTTCAGGTGGTTTGCTGTCTGTTTTTATTTTAATCAATGGAGCTATTTGTTACTTTGGTTGAGATGACTCCTTTTGTTTTCGGCATTGAACCATGATTCAGTAAGGATAAAACAAAAGATTATTTGAAATATGGTTTGAGAAAGCAACTATAACTATTCTTTTGCATTTTGATCGCATAAAAGTACACTACCTATTCTGAAAGTAAATAAACAATGAGGGTGCCCCTGTTTCCAGATAACAGTTGTATTATTGAGTCACAAAGGAAAGTATCATTATTCATCGTCGTCGAAACCGAATTCTCGCAACAACTCTGGTACTTGAAGTTGAGGTCCAATTTGTGTTCCATTCCCATGGTTGTTTTGGTCATTGGAGTTGGAAGTCCCCGCAAGTTGGTTCTTGATTGGACGTAACTTACCTTTGAACATCCCGTTAAGCATACCTCCGATGGATCTGACTGGGTGGCTTATTCTATCTTTCAACATGAAAATCATCGAGTACTCAGAGAGCTGCCAAGTCAATGTCAGGATGATCACAGCCGAGAGAAGTACATGGGTTATTGTGTTCTGCTTCTTCACCTTCTTGATGTCCTTAGCTAATTCTTCTATACTCTCTTCCAATTGTCTCTGGCCCTCGCGTTTTCCTTTGGATGGTGCAGATTCTTCTTCTTCTTTGGTTATCACACCTGCTTTTTCCTTGGACTTTGGTGATTCCAACTAAGTTATAGACAAAAATTAGCATCAGCACTGAAATGGGAGTAGGTCATGGACACATCCCAATACAGATAATGTTGTGGAAATGAAACAGCAACTAACACAATCATGTTGAGAAGATAAGCTCACTCTTATGAATTTGAAATAAGAATTAGGAGACACACACTAACAATTAATCTTCATTTTACTGTGATAATTGACAAAGCTAAATCAAACGACAAACAGCTTGGATTTGTTCGATTCAAGATCATCAAATCAAATCACAGCGGAACAATTACACAGACTCAATAGTTTATCTCAAAAATAGTCATGATTCAACCTTATTATACCCAGAAAAGTTGATTTGGGGCAACATCAGATAAATCAACAAAGGAGAAAACAGAGTGATGGTAAGTACCTGAGAGATAAGCCTAGAGAGCAAAAGCTGATCATCGTCGTCTTCAATGAAAGCGTCACCAGAAGCTTCTCTCTTCCTCTTCTCAATAAGAAGCTTCTCGATAGCTCTACTCAGATTCTCCACATCCTCACTCGACTCCATTTCACAAACCCTTCTCCTCCAACCTCACCGACGCTCCAAAGATGTGTTCTGTTTGTTTATTGTTTTTTTTAGGTAGAGAGTATTTGTTTGTATTGAGAATGCATTGTCAGGACACGTGACATCAATTGACGGCACGGCACCTCCACCATTTTTGAGATGGGCAATGGCGTATACTCAACTAAATAAATTAATATTTACAGAATAATAAAACATGTAATAATGGAGTACCAGTTTAATTCTTTAATAAACACAACTCTGCACGACTAAACCTCGATTCACACTTAGATTCCGTGTGATTTTTTTAGTCCACAACGGATTTTTTCCGGCAATATCTACTGGCAGTTTTTAGAGAGTTAAGAATAAAGAAAAAGTAAACGAACAAGAGAAGCTGCTACCACCAACACATAACTAATAATCATCTAGCTGCGGAGACAATTATTGAAAAACCTATAAGTGATCGAGAATAATAAGCAAATAAGAACTCTATATCAAGTACAGAAATAAGAATTGGTTCGCTGATAGAAGATATAAAGAAGATCACAACATAGGAGTGTGTCGAAAAAGCAAGAAACTCTAAAGAATTGCAACAGAAATCCTAAAATCTTTTTGTATGCTTTAAGAAATCATGTTACATAATAACGACATCCATGAAAGCACAAATAAGAAGGCTTCTCTATTTCTAACAGTAGTAAAATAGAAAAATTCCTTTTCGAAATAGTAAGAATATAAACTCCCTGATATCCACATGATTTTCCCAAACCCCCCAACAAAATATAGATAACGAACATAGAAAAACTCTAATGGATATATATATATATATATATATATATATGTTTATATAATCAATCCTTCTCTTTTTTGGTTCTGCTTCGCTCTGCTCTGCTTCCGGATGATGTATAGCTTCACCGTTTGTTGTTTGTCACTTCACAGAAGCTTCCATTCTGCGAATAGACATGTCAAAACAAACATTATTGCAAGAACATGAAACTAACAAACATTAGGTTTAATTTCAGACAAGAAAAGTAATGTGAAAATGAATGATGGATATCATGATGGAAGAGATCGTTTCAGTCAAAAACAGAACAAACATCAAAAATTCCCATTTTGCGTGGTTGCTTTTCAAGAAAACCCTAATTCGAACCTCCATTTCTAACAAGATAAGGAAAGAACCAAAACCCAGCGGAATCATTTCTAGATGATCAAGAAGGAAACTTTGGTTGAAATCTAAACAGATCCATGACGAAAATAGAAAGCTTGAATCATTGAAATCAAAGGCAGAAACTACCGATTTAACTCAAAATTTGAAAGAAATTTGTTACCAGAAATCTCTTTTCCGGAGGGAGAAGGAGGCGTCAAGACGTAACAGAGAATCGACCTCCCAACCATGGAAATGGCGGAAACGATGCCAGCGACATAGAAAACCATAATCAGAGCAATAACCCAAGGCATCAGAAGAAACCCGATGAAGAAAGTCACAGATCCACAGAGCATAAGAGCCACAGATATACCAAGAAGCAACGACGCGAACCCAGACGGTGAAATATGAGCCATGGAAGGCGAAGACGAAGAGGGAGGACGAATTCTAGCCGGCGGATCGGGGAAATGATCAGGTAAAGAAATCGGCATAGGAGGAGAACGGAGAAGATTCAAAACAAGAGCTGATAGATCGTAGAAAACCCTAGATTGTTGTTCATCTCGTTGCCTTCTCATCATCACCACCACTGTAATCCAAAAAAAATAAAATCCGAGGAAAATTGCTTGAGGAAGAAGATAACGAAAGGAAAAAAATGGTTTGCTAAAACCGAGGAGAGAAGATAAAGGAAAGAGCCGCAAATTGATTGGGTAGAAGAAGAAGAAGGTTTAATGGCGATTGCCAACAAAACACGATAATCTCTCTGTACACACAACAAAACGATTGAAATTTCTGCAAAGACTTTTTTGTTTTTGGTCTTTTGTATATAAAAATCTAACATAAAATGAAGAATCGTGTTTTGGATAACGAAAAGTAAAAAAGAAGGAGCGTGTGGACACGCGATGGTGTTGGCGAGTAGAGAGTGAGAGAAGAAGGGAAAGGGACAAACGTGGGACCCAGTTATGACGCGTAGTTGGGTCTTATCTTCTACCACATTCTTATCTAACCTCCTCTTTTCTTGCTTCTCTTTCTAATAAATTTGTTCCAATCATACCAGAGAAGTCGTTTTCTTGTTTGCTTTTTGTTTATAAATAATTTTTGGTTATTTATATATTTGACTTTGGTCTATAAAATTTTTGAATAAAAAAAAAAGACTGATAGCTTTTCTGCGAGAATGACCGCACTTTAAGCTGTCTATCGCTGAGGTTCAAATCAGGCTACTTGCCCTTGGTGTTGGAAAATGAAAGGATTTGTGAAATGACTAGACTCAAGATATGGTCGATGATGAATTATTGAAGTAAACTAGATCCCCATCAAGTTAACTAACATTAGACTCAAATTATTTTGCTCAGGGCCCAGTAATATATATGAGCCAGGCCTAGTTTTATGAGTAATATTTTTGCACCAATCCATTATACGCTCCGATCGGAAAAGCTATTAACTCCCTCACAGGACAACAGAAAAAACAAGTACTGTACAAGATTACTGGAATTTTTTTGTGTTGAATAAATTTCGTTCTTGAATTGGTGACCAGTTTTAATCATAAAATTGTTCTTTTTTATAATTCACAGATTTTTATGTAAATTTAATAATAAAAAAATTTAAATTGTAGAACTTTACAAGCATATGAGAAAGCCTATTTTTTTTTTTTTTACATCTTTGTATCGACAAGCCCCGATCCATAGTCAATTCCTACTACGCGGAGTAACGCGACTTAGTGGAATCGAATTCCGGTGAGGAAGGCGGAGTCAAATGGACTTAACCACTTGACTAAAAGCACATCCCCCTGAGAAAGCCTATTTATCACTAACTTTTCTGATAATTTAAATCACTTTTATAACAATGTGGCATATATATAATTGCAATTAAAAAAAAAACTCTATAAGTTATATAGTTGATATAAAAAAAATAGACATGTTACAAAAAAAAAATTTAAAAAGACAACTTTTCAAAAATATTAATGTCAGAGATCTTAAAATAACCGAGATACTGTATATATCTAGTAAGTTTACTTTCTTAGTTTTTGTCAAATTTTAGTTATTAAGATGTAGTTTTTATTTTTGGATATAAGGTTTACGATTTGTCAAGATTTAGATTTTAACTTTTAGGATTCAAGTTTAGTTTTAGGATTTCGAGTTCAATTGTAATACTTTACTTTTTAATCACTGAATCTAATTGACACGATCCATATCTCATGCCTTCTTGGTAAAAAGGAAACATTTAATTAAAAAAAACACATATGCATGTCAAAAGAATCGAACTGAACTCAAAGACATGAAAAATGTTAGAGATCTTAATGTTAGAAGATCATATTTTCATGTTAAATTATCTGAAAAACTTGTCGATCAAATCTTCATGAGAATAGAGAAGATATATCAACGACCTGCAAGATATATTATAACCAAATTTGTCTTCTCTAGGCCCTCTACAAAAGTATAGAGATGGCCCAAAATGATATAGGTGGGCCTACAAATACATAACCAGTGGCCAGTGGTTTGCTGCTCTTTAACAAGAGAGATAAACAAGTTGATTTGGTTTCCATATAAACAAAAACAAGAGGTCCCTTCTCAAGACTTAAAAAAAAAAAAAAGACAAATACCTGGATTTGATTGTTTGTTTTTTATATAGTTAAGAGAATTGAGTAGATAACATAAATTGGGAGTTAATTTAAAAGAAACTGGATCAGGAAGACAGGAAGTGTAGGAGTAATGTGTAAATTTTTTTTTTTTTTTGCTAAGATAATGGGTAAAATTGGGAAGCAAAATTGTTGAAAAAATTATTGAATTATAGATAGGGCATAAACATTACACACACATGCACACAAGACAGAAAACATGAGAGAGGTAATAAAATAGAAACATCATCTTAAAAATGTCAAAAAAAAGGAGAGATTAATTAAGTAAGAAAGATTCAAATAGAGTTGGTGTCATAAGGTAACCAACCCAACATGTAATTATTCAGACTTGGTCCTGCTCCCATTCCATCTTGCTGCCCCTGATACCTGCTCCATCCATTGTTACGAAAATTTTGTATTTGAGATACTTTCTTAAGAAAAGCTTATAATAGAACACAAAATAAAGGAGACCAAATTGGTTATATAGGATAAAGTAGCTACCCGATCTGAAGAATGGGTTCACACTCCAAAGGCTGGAAGAAAGCTTGGGAGTGTTGATGATGACGACCGTAGTGATCAACCTCTTCTTGGTTAGGGTTCAGCTGGAGTGGCATCTGATACCCATCAGCTAACTGTCATATGTATACACACACTCTTGTTACTTGAAATGATTAATAACCAAATTTAGTGATATGCATTTATTTGGGATGAGAATGTATATTAATTACCCTTAGTCTTAGAGTTTTATTTGTCTCAGTCAGCATGCGTTCCTGCTCCAAATATTTGTGTTTTCTTGGTTACATTAATTTTGGATGTGGAATTTAGAAAGGAGAGTGAGTGAGTATTAGTGTTTCTTTATTTACCTTACTCTGAAGATCGTTGAGCTGGTCGAGCATAAACTGTGTCTGCAGAATTAAACACCAAATTTAATAATAGCCTAATCTTACTATGGAATTAGATAAGTGTATAAAGAAGATATGAGAAATTGATGAACAAGTAAGTACCCGGAGAGCTCTGATCTGCTTCAAGGAAGAATCAAGCTGTCTCTCAAGTGACTCAAGCTCCTTTGTACTTAGAGGCCCAAGATCTTCTCCCAGTAGATTCCTATTTCAACATCAAAACCATCAAAAATCTGCTTAAAAAAAAACACACTCTCTAAGAGCTTTATAATTAAGGAGTTAGCTTTACCTTTGGGTTCTCTGTAAGGCGTCGTAACGGTCCTTAAGCTTGAGATACTCCTGCTGGCTACTAAGTTCCTGAAGTATGACACATCAACATTAATCAATAGATTCAAACAATAATAAAAGCTAAGCAAAGAAAGTGAAGTAGTAAGTTGAGAAGAAAGAGAAGAGAAGGGGGTACAACTGCTAAGGCCTCTCTTGAAGGCACATTGGGTTCTGGTGCTCCATAGTTACACTTTTGGTACCTCTCCAGTGTCCGAAGCATGCTTCACACCACACACACACAAAAAAAAAAAAAAAACATCATTTCTTTCATTAATTACACATCAAGTGTCCAATAAACCTTGGTAATCTCAAAATCAAGTTCTGGAAATGAGTTTTTAACTGTTTACTAGGGTTTACAACAAAATCTGGGAGTTTTCCAGAGAAGATCTAAAGAACCCAGAAAGAAGGATGAATCTCCAAGTACGTATCCAATGGATTTTAGATGAATTTGACATTGGAGTCAATTCAAACCAAAATTGGAAAGCCCTAAGGGTTACCAAAATGGGTAGCCGTGGAAACAATAATCCCCTATGAACTTATATGAATCTGACAACAAAATTGAGTGATTTGATCGAATTGGACGAGCCCCAAATCAAAAGGTGGAAACTTTAAGCTCCGAAGAGAAAACCCTAATTAAATAACTCACATAAGAAATTAAGTAACCCTAATTTCATATCAGATCGATGGTTGTTCTCAGATAATGTAAACTAAGTAGATATAATTCCAAGGAAAGACAAATAAATAAGCATTTAAAATCCAGCAACAAAGAAAAAAATAGAAAGAAAACAGAAGAGGAGAAAATCAAAAACAAAAATGGAAATCAAGAGAAACACAAAAAAAAAAAAGCAAACATGTTTTAAAATGATACAGATTTGGGTATCCCAAAAAATTTCCTATTTGCTTCTTTTAAAAGGATGATAGAACACGTACGACACAACAACACATCACAGAGACCCATACAACAAGACATTTTTGTGTTACTTATATATATATATATGAAAAAGGGTATGTCCATATAATAATATACAAAAGTAGATATATACCTCGAACTACTGCAAAACTCGTACAGCTTTCCTCTATTTGAGAAGATGATGAGAGCAACTTCTGCATCACATAGAACTGAAAGCTCGTATGCTTTCTTCAAAAGACCATTCCTTCTCTTTGCAAACGTCACTTGCCTATTGATCTTGTTCTCTATCCTCTTCAATTCTACTCTCCCTCTTCCCATTTTTTCTCCTCTCCCAAAAGATCTCTCCTTCTCTCTCTCTCCCTCTTTCCTTGCAAGCAATTCTATATATATGAGCCTCTCTCTCTCTCTCTCTTTTTCTTTATATTTTTCTCTTATTTTTTCTATGTTATATTACTTTTTAAAGTGTACATATACATTTGTACAATCTCACAACACTTCTCTCAAGTACATATAAACATGTCAGCTTCATTACTTGAAATATTCTCTTTCTATACACTCTCAGACTCAACTATATACCCTCCAATACCTCATAGGATTTATTCAAATATTGCAAAATTGAAAAAATGTTAATTACTCTATCCATGCTTTGATATTTTCAAACCTAAAAATTTGGTGCATTTTTATGTTTATACATAATTAGTAAAGGAGGGAAATTAGAGTTCCACTGTCACCAACACTTTATTCTGGCAAGTGGTTTAATTTTTCAATTTCAATCCATATATAGTTTAGAGAAAAATGTGATTCTCGCAAGAAAGTTGGATACTTTTTTACTTGGTTCATCGAATTATGTAGATTAATAATTGAAAATCCCACATAAACCCTAACATTTAAAACCATTATTATTAAAGCTTTTAATATGTTGAGAGAGACAGAGATATTAAATCGTATGATTCGTAAGAGTGTGATGTTGAAAATGAGAGATTAATGGACGGTGGAGATGGCGCGTGGGTGATGAGTGATTGCAACCCTAAACAGAAAAGAGTAGGGCAATGAATGAGTTCGGACACGTGTCGATATCTTGATGGTAGGGTCTGATAAACCCACCTGATTTTTTTATTAAAAGAAATTGATTTTAAATTTTAAATTTTTCTTTACTTATAAAATCGAGTTCAGGGAATCATGTGACCTAACCTTAACTAGGTGAAGCCTCGTACGATTTTCCCAACTTACGGAACTACCCTTGTGATTGGTGAAAAATGTAAAGTAAAACACACTTCTCCTCTTTTGTGATTCATTTATGTTTATTCTTACTGCTAGTTTTGATAAATCTTACTGCTAGATTTTCTGTTCTTTATTTCCTATAGTACTAGATAATGTTTTGTTAGTGAAATTAATAGTAGTCTTCAAATAAAATACAAAATACAAATGTCTATTAGTCTACTTTATTAACCACCATTTTGATGTGGCCAAACCAAAATTAAAAACCATGTTGATAAATTCAGTTTGGTATGATGAGAGTCTGAGACACACAAAAAATATGGGAAAGAAAAAAAACATAAATGGATAAAATAAACAGAGTTTTGAATATAAGATATAGTTTCTTTTGGTTATCTTAGGGTTCGTCCGATGTTAGAGATCATGTCTGACCGAAAGTCTTAGTGCTTTTTGGTTGCAGACGTAATTGCTTTATTCTGACCGGTAAGTAGGTGATGGACACAAGGGTATGATTCAATTAGAAAAACTAAACATAGCATTATTATTCTGTTTGGTTATATTTAAACCATTAGCTTATTTTCTTTGATTTGCACATTGAATCTCTTATTAATCTCACTTGCTCGTAGAAGCATTTTAAGCAAATTTGCACGAGTTATTATATATGTTGTCTTCATGTGGGACTCAAGATTTATGATATTTTTATTTGCTTTAGTTTTAGGTAAAATAAAAATAAAATAAATTAACTTACATTCAAAATTAGTTAGAAGGGGTATATGAGAAGAAAAGGAAGGCAAGTACGAATTCACTTCTTATCAGATCTGGTCGTATAATTCAATGTAAGATGATGACAATTGATAGAGATGATGTGCATTAAACCAAAAGAGAAACTAAAGTACATTCAACTATTTATTTATTGATGTCATACCAATGAAGTAAAAACATATATCTTCTATCTTTTCCTTCTCTTTTTGTACTCTTTCCTTCGTTTTTTGATACCCCAAATTAAAATTTCAAATCTTCCCTATTGATAATATATGTGGTGAATTACAAGGTATGAGACGACCAACAAAAATATATATACTATATTTAGTTTTTAAACGTTTTCAAGTGTCAAACATTTCAAGAAAATATTGAAAAACATTCTTCTAGTCTCTTTAAGAATTTTTCCCAAAAAATCAATTTGTAATATATACCATTAATGTAATAAATGGAAACTTAGAAATATTCTAACACTGATGTGATATAAATATATTCTGTATAATTTTATTCTTCACTTGATTCTAACGTAAAACGTGCTTTTCCGTGTTTATCTATAATTCTATACCAACATGTAAATCTTAAATAAATAAAGGTTTTATACAGTTTTATATCTACTAGTTAATTGTGTGTGCATAACACGTAGTATTTTTTTTAAAGAACACTATTTAGACATGATCTATATTATACTATTTGATAAAAATACATTGCATCATATCATTATCATTTATTTAGTTTCAATCTTTCCCGGCCATGGCTATATACACCGAATTAACCTCAAATAAATTCTAACAAGTAAAAGTAAGTCATATTATACATTTTGAATGGTTATACGAGATCTTGTAAGATATATAATTCGTAAAAGTGGATATGGCCGAATAAATTTCTCCGTTTAAAGCATAAGAAAAAAGGTTAGTAAGAAAGAAAGAAGCACTTGGAAATACTCTTTTGGCTTTGGGATCATATGCCCTGGATGGAGCACATAATACAGGTCCCATTTGGATGGATGGATCATCCAACGATGAGAGATCCAACGGTCCTAAAGAACTTCTCAAAATCAAAATGCTATTACACGTAGGAAAGAAAGAAGAATCTAGATGTGAAGCAAAAGAGACGACGGTGATCGATAGGGGACCATATCAACTTGCAATGTTTGCACTACAAACTAGAACAAATAAATGCCACGTGAAATCCTACACGACAGCTAAGTTGCGAAGTACTGGTGTGTGATGTGGTCCATTGGCGTGAGATGAGAATCGGACGGCTTTGAGCCAATGTCGTGAAGGGTTGAAGAAAGAATAAGAACCGTTGGATAGATCGGCTAAAAATAGACGGACAGGGTCCACGTCAAGACGTAATGGAAAGGGGACCTCGTTGCCCAAAATAGAAAGATGGAGTTATCGTCAAACAAGTCACGTCTGGGTTTATTGAGTGGGGTTAAGTTTTTGGACCAGTCTCTCTACTTTTTTTTTCACCCCTCCTCCTCTACAATATATAGTAAGTTACTGTTGTCATAGACTCTTAGTCATTATGCATTAAAAGGTTTTCACTTTTAAGCGTGCAAAGAAAAATTTGGTTCATACTTCATACTATGCCGTAATTTATCCAAACTACTAATTAATGAAATGTTATTTAGAAACTCATGTAGATCTTATTAAAGTGTTGTAAATAAATCTTATTTCAGGTTCATAACTAATTATAAGCACATAAACTATTTAACATACATAAAGTCATTCATGAAGGGACTTAAGATATGTTGTGACTGGGTGTAAATAACTCTGATCCTTGTAGAACCTCATGACACAATTGAAACCATGTTTTAATGACTAATCCAAGATAAGGATAGCACCAGAAGAGAAGAGTCCATCGAAATAGATTTGGAGGAGTGTTGAATCTAGTGTCGGTTTCAGATATCGGAAGGAAGAATGAAGCTTTATTTTGACAGTTTGATATATCCACTATATTATATATTTTTAAGATTTGAGATACTAGAGCATAGCAGTTGAGAGTGAATCTTGAAAATCCGTTCACGCCAACGTTTGTAGATTGATGAATGCCAAAGCAGATTGAGGATATAACACGTGGCCTTAGGTAAGTTGGTGGCCAGATAACCATGTACAAATGTACAATCATCCTTTTGACAAGAAATTTTACTTAGATTTTTATATATATACGCAGTTAGAAAAGAGAATGGAATAGGAGACCAACTCTTAATAAGACACGTAATGTTATAGTAAGAAAAACGCTCAAACATTACTCATGAATCTTTAAAAATGATTATTGCCATATATGTACACTAGTGAAGCTTTAATACAAGTCTTCATTTTTCATTTAACTCGTAGAGGCGTAAACAGGCAGTTGCTTGACTTGGCTCCCTTTAGAACCGGCCATGTTTCATAACATTGTTATGACTATGGAACCATATTATATTTAGAATTAAATTAAATGAATGAAAATATATGTAATCTCTTACAAACATAAATAAGGTTGTATGAATCTATCTATTTATGTGAAGAACAAAAAGATCTAAAAGTTTTGCATCACCTCAACTAAAAATTTATTTTTGTCTTGAGATCAAAAACGAAATATGGATTAGATTAAAAGGAGAGCGTATATACATTTGTACTGTGTGAGAGATTTTTTTTATCTTTTCTTTTTCACTACAAGTAGATGTTATTAGAAATTATTTTTGATAAACTCGTTAAACAAAATATTTGTAATTTGTGATTAAAAAACTTATGGGCTTAGCCATATATATCTGTTAGGCTAAAGATCAAAGCATTTTATATGATCCCCTCCCAAATGTCATGAAAATCGACGATCTCTAAAATTTGCCTGAAAGTCTTTATTGGTTAAACTATATATTGCCACTTGGTCTAGTTGACTGATTGAAGAACCTTTAGTTTTTAATTGTAACACTCCGGTCTCAGGAACATGGTGGTGCATGCGGAGAGATTTAAAAGGATTGATTTGACCACCTATGTCACCAAAATGCACTTATCTTTTCAGTCAACTGTCCTGGGAGAACTCTACAGTTTAGCATGTTTGGGCATAAGTAGTTTCAGGATGGGTGACCTTCCGGGAAGTGATTGTCGGAACTGTGTGAGTGAAGACAAAACACAGAAAAAGATTATATGGTGATTTGTAGGATCGGTAAACAAGTCTTTAATGCCTCCAAGACGTAGCGGACCAGCCGTCAGATAAAGGTGGGCCTATGGGCCCGAGAGATGACGTGGGGCCCACTGATAGAGACGGTCGGGATGTTACATTAATAATCAATAATATAAACTAAAATGTGTCTCTCCATCAATTGACCTTTCAATAATTTTGGAGACATTAGATATGACATGTGGATTAACTGTAAAGAAACTGTTAACTTCCAATTATAATTAACAACTTCGGATTTTAACTTCTTTCAAAGGGGATGTGCTTTTAGTCAAGTGGTTAAGTCCATTTGACTCCGCCTTCCCCAGCGGAGTTCGACTCCACTAAGTTGTGTTACCCCGCGTAGTAGGAATTAGCTATGGATCGGACCTTGTCGATCCAAAGATGTTTAAAAAAAAAAAAAAAATTCTTTCAAAACTAAATAATGTTTCTTACAGTCCCTATTATCCTCTCTTGATTGCATAAGTTTCATCTTCCACCACATACACACATTCATCCAAAGATGATTTCAATTTTATCTCTCATTTGCTATCTTTTGTTTACCTTATTTTGTAGCTTCACTTAGAGATGATATTGGTTTGTGATTTAAATGTTACGTAGAATCTGTTGTTATTAATTTAAAATTTTTAATTAAAATTTTAATTAATTTTTTTTAAAAGTTTGTTAAACCTTAGTGTTATTAATTTAACATTTATAAAAAGTAATCTAAAATCTTCATAAATCTGGATTTATTGGATTCATATTTTTATAAAGTCATTAAAAGTTTTGTGTTATTCAATTAAAACAAAAGTCTATGATTGTTAATGAATTAAATTATTATGTTATTGATTTATGATTTTTTAAACTTTTCTTCACAAAATAAAATCATGAAAAGTATCATCATAATAGAAAGATTGTTTGGAAAACTTTACAAAACTATGAAAAAACTAATCAACAAAATTATATAAAACTCTTTAACAATAGTTTAGATTTTTTTATTTATTTACTTTCTATGATTTTTTTAAAGTTATCAAAAATCTTTGTAAATTAGAACCAATAACTTCTTAATTGTTTGCTCAAGTGTGCCTTGATGAATAAATCGTCCAAATTTGGGCATATGAATCATCCGCAAATACCCAAGTGATTTTACAGGCTTTGTTTTTGCTTGTTTTTTTATGGACTAATGAATCCAGTTCGTCTCTATTAGATAGGACCAATTAATCCAAACCGAACTCATTTTACTTCTCCGCCAATCGGTTTATATCGCTAAACCGAATTCAAACTTCGGTGTCCGGTTTCGAATTAGCCATATCGTGTCTATTTAGACCAAATCTGACCGGAAATTTCGGTTCGGTTTGAGTAGCAGCTCAGTTTTGTTGCATCAACAAGCGAACAATATAGACGCACGTCGTCTTTCCCTCGCGTCATCGTCCCAAGAGCGCCTCTGTTTCGCCGGTACGTTCCCGCAGCTCTCTCCTACCAATCCTCTCTCCGACCTACTCACGCGGCTTCGTTTTCCATCTAAAGTCCTTGGTCGTATAAGCTCGTCTCTAGCCATGGCTCTTCCGCTCGGGAAGCTCACTATCCTCATCGGCGCAGGTCTGTGCTTTTATAGGGTATTTCTTGTATTAGGGACTAATTTGAACGGTGCTCCATTGTTTTGTATTGGTTTCGTTGATGAGTAATCTCAGTTAGAGGATGACAAGTTAGGGTTTTTCATAAACCCTTTGATTGCTGTAGAAAACATCAGTGTCCTTGACTGGCTCAAATTTTAAGACTTTTGATCATTTAGTGTGGTTATCATCAGTGTAGTATTGGATTCGGATTATATCTTTTGTCTTAATACATCTGAATTGTTTGTTGGCTCTCTGTAAACTTTTATTAGGAAGGAGAAGTTTATGTTTAGTTTCTCTGTGAATGCACCTACTAGTACACTGATTGTGAACTTGCTGAATCGATTGATTTCGTGTACATGCTTAATGTTCGTCCAAGTGACTGCAATTACTCTATATCGTGATTTTGGCAAATGTTACTTTAGGTCTTGTTGGGTCAGCATTTGCTAGAGAAGGGGGCTTACCAGATTTCTCGAATTTGGTTTCGGGTGCTTTTAAGGTATTCAAATTTCTATATTGTGCAAAAGCTTGTTGACTCCACATGTGTATGATGCGGTTTGGCAAAATGAGGCAGTGGGTTTTGTTTATGTTGACAGATGGTATTTAAGCAATTGAAACAAGAAGAACCTAGCAAATCAGCTAGCAAGCCCCACAATGATGTACTTGTGGCCCAGGTTAGTTTGACATTAATCTATTGCTGAGGATAAGCTATCGGATGGAGCTGGATAATATAGACTTGCTGAGGACTTAGATTTATTGTGAATCAATAGTGTCTTTCCTGAGCCCTATTTATTCTTGTAGGTTAACAGTCTTAGGCATGAGATACAGTTGCTGGGGTCAAACAGACCTATCACCATTGTTTCAACACCAGGATCAGGTCCTCTGGAGTTTTTTACTTTTTATATTGAAGTTTTGTCTTCCTCTTCTGCACTAATAATGACATAAATTGGTTTAATCTGAAACTTGGAGTTGGGTTTTGCACACTTAAATTATCTGGACGTTGTTTTTTGAAATCCTTTTTCGGGTTTGTTCTCTTTTGCTACTTCTCTCATATCAAACAAGACAGTTATGCTCTGATCGGTGGATTTTTTCTTCCTAGCATTAGCGAGTCATTTCATTAGAGTAACACCATTCTTTGTTTACTGTTTATCGAAACTCGGAAGAAAACAGTCAACACTTTCCTTTAATTCACAGGTGGTAAAAAGTATGGTCTGATCATTATCGTTGGGGTGATAGGCTACGGATATGTGTGGTGGAAGGTAATAATACTTCACCATACCGGAGCTACTTAAAATTAGTTAATTGATCATTTGAAGTGTTGTGGGCTAGTCAAGATTTTGTATTTTGGAAAACATTTCATTGGGTTATCCTTGCTAATTAGTTTGACCTGGTTTAGTTGTTTGCAGTTTCTTTCTCTTTTTTGAAAACTTACTGCTCACTGATTTACTCTGCAACAATCTCAGGGCTGGAAACTTCCAGATTTTATGTTTGCGACAAGGCGTAGCTTATCAGATGCATGTGATGATGTTGGCAAACAGATCGATGGTTTTTACTCATCGCTCTCGGCAAGTTCTCACTTCTCTTTTCTCGAGCACTCTTATACTGTTCGCTTACTAATTTGTCTTGATTTGACCATTGAACTCTATTCTTATCAGTTATGATGGTTTCTTTCGTGAGCTAATCCATTTAAATGATCTAGTACAATAAGTATAAGTCAAGTGCAGAAGATCAATATTTTGTCTCATTTTGTTTCTGTTAACATTTCATGACAGGGTACAAAACAGGAGTTAGGTTCACAAGTTGACAGGGTGGGTCGTCGTTTGGATGCAAATACGGAAGTTATTGAACAAACAGGACGAGAGGTATGTTGGATTGAATTTAAACAAATACTTCTGTTTCACTGCGTTGTCAAGGCTTTCTGATGACTCACTATTTTCTTTATACTATATCAAAATGTTTAGGTGACTGAACTACAGGATGGTACAGCAATTATAAAGGATGACGTTAAGTCTGTTTTCGCTGCTGTTGAAACTCTGGTGAGAAAATTGAGTAATTGCATATATGTTCATCCGTTTGTTCTCCCTAAAAACAAGAAAAGTGAGATAATCTTGTGATCTTCATGATTGTCAGGCAAACAAAGTCTATCGTATTGAGGGAAATCAGGTAACATTTGTCACAGTTGTAGTTGGAGAATTTTTTGTGTTCATCAGGCATTGTGTTGATTGAATTTAAATTTCTTGGCCATCCATAAAGGATATCACGCTTAGGGGAGTTGGGGCTCTGCATGCTCAGTGTCGGGAGAACAAAAGAATTCAAGAGTCCAATAAGGCAGGACCCTTCTCCATTGTGCAGTGTATTTTAGGGACATTGCTACATAAACTTTCTTTTATAATTAGGCTTCTCCATTGTTCGTCTTATTTACCCAGACTTCTTTTATAATTAGGCTTTGCCATCAACTTCATCAGTGCCAGCCCTTGAGGCAGCTCCTATGACACCATCTTCAAGGGTATATGACTAAGTCTTTTATCTGGTCTCATAATGAATTTCAACTGTTCATCAAGTATCGGGATCGTTACCGATCTTGTTCTGTTCTATTGGTTTTTTGATGTAAGCAGACTCTGTCTTCACCTCCTGCTTCTCCCGATGAATCCCAGTCGCCGTCAACCCCTAATGGAGCTCAACAGGTTTATTCTATCTCAAACCAGAGTTACTGATTAGAAACAAAATTCGTTGTAAAGAGTACTGACATTTCATTTGGACAGTCACGGGGCCCACTTCAGCACACTCAATCTATGTCTGGATTGAAGGTAAACATTCTTCATCTCTTCCCTATCAATTAAATTTTGAGCATCAATATGCGTCAAACTTAACCTAAAACAATTGTCTATGAATTCTGTTCTTAGGACATAAATGAAAGCTCTAGTAGCTGCGAGACGTCTTCGAATGGAAAATATTCTGGGGGAAACGGTGCATCAGGCTCGAGTTCAGGCGTGTTTGGTAGGTTCTCAATACCAAGAATAGTGAGGGCTCGTACTGTGGTCAACACAGTGCCTACTACTAACTGAAGAGAGAGATTGTTTTTTATTAATTATTAGGATTAACAAACAAGAAGGGGGCATGTTGTATCTAGTAAAGTATTTGAATAGGTTTTGCTTTTTTTTTTGGCATTGTGCATCGAAACAATGCCATCAATGGTGCATAATTTTTTTGGAGGGATGCAGCTTATATTTAAATGGGTTTATAGGTCACAGTTATCAGTTTGTTACTGTTTTTCGAATACAAGAGGTTGAAGATAGTTTCTTTAATTAGATATGTTCGGTCGAAAGAGCTTTTGGATACAACAGTAGCTATTATAATGAGAAGAGGTTTAAAGTTATCTTGACATTTAGAGAAACTTACGTCTGATGCAGGAACACGAGCCCACAATCATCCATGTGAGTCATTCCTCTCTTGCTAGAAACAACTATAAACATGTCCAATTTGGTACTGTTATATCTCCTGGGCAAAATAATGATCTCGTATCGTCCCAGTTACTTTGCTTGTTTCCAAGCATAATCACATTTAAAACTAACAAAACATGACATGATACAACCTCTTTATCATCTCACAATGTAAGGCAGACTTTTATAGGACCAATGTAATTGCCATGTGGACCAGCCTTTTTATTCAATACAAAAAAAAAAGGAAAAGAAGAGATGGCCAGACAAAACCATCGTCAACCTCTGTATAAACTGCATTACGAAAGGGCAGAGCAACATACTGATTAATTGTGACATATAATCCAATTAACTATAAGCTGCATCCCTACAAAAATTATGCACCATTTATGGCATTGTCTTCACTAAGCAAGGGACGAGTATAGACGCAGCATGACCTATTCAAATCCTCTTCTAGCACTTGCCCATTTCTGGCTTGCTGATCATTTGAATGATCAAACTCTCTCTTCAGTATTGACAAGCCCCTATTGGGGTCCAATGGAGTTAGTAGGCACTGTGTTGACCACACTACGAGTCCTCCCTATTCTTGGCATTGAGAACATACTAAACAGGCCTGAACTCGTGTTCCCCGTAGTTTCTCCAGAATGTGTTCCATTTTCGCTTATCTCCTGAGACCCAAGTTTATAAAAGATAGTTTTAGGTTAGGCTTGACCCATACTGATGTTTGAGACTTGAGGAAAAGGGAAGAGGGAAATAATATTTACCTTCAAACCAGACATAGATTGAGTGTGCTGAAGTGGACCACGTGACTGCCCAAATGTTATGTCAGTATTCACTAAAACCAAGTTCAGTTTCTAATCCAAAACACTAGTTTGAGATAGAACAAACCTGTTGAGCTCCATTAGAAGTTGAAGGCGACTGAGATTCACGGGGAGAAGCAGGAGGCAAAGACAAAGTCTGCTAACATTAAAACACCAGGGAGGAATAAGCAATAGAACAGAACAAGATAGGTAACAATCCCACTAACGTGATGACCAGGTGAAATTTATTGTGAGACCAGTTTAGTCATTTACCCTTGATGATGGTGTCATAGGAGCTGCCTCAAGGGCTGGCACTGATGAAGTTGATGGCAAAGCCTAAACACAATAGAAGTGAGCAAATAAGATAAAATTGTAAATTATGTAGCCATTTTCCTAAAATGCACTGCACAATGGAGAAGCCTCATGCCTGATTGGACTCTTGAATTCTTTTGTTCTCCCGACACTGAGCATGCAGAGCCCCGACTCCTTTAAGCGTGATATCCTTTATGGATGGCCAAACAAATAATTTCGATCAACAAATGCCTGACAAGGAAAAATAATTTCCAACTACAGTTGGGACATATTGTACCTGATTTCCCTCAATACGATAGACTTTGCTTGCCTGGAAATTAAAGATCACAAGATCATCTCTCTTTCTTTTTTGTTTTTAGGGAGAACAAACAGGTGAATATATATGCAATTACTCAATTTCCTTACCAGAGTTTCAACAGCATCGAAAACAAACTTAACGTCATCCTTAATATTTTCTGTACCTCTTTGTAGTTCCATCACCTAAACAATTAAATAAATTATCAAGAAAACATTTAGAGTTATCAGAAAGCCTTGACAACGCAGTGAAACACAAGTATTTGTGCACATTCATCTAACATACCTCTCGTCCTGTTTCTTGAATAATTTCTGTATTAGCATCCAAACTACGACCCATGCCGTCAATTTTTGAACTTAACTCTTGTTTTGTACCCTGTCATGAAATGTTAACAGAAACAAAATGAGACAAAATACAGATGTTCTGCAACTAAATTAAATAAAGGTACTTGATCATTTGGATGGATTAGGCTCACAAAAGGAACCATCATAACTAATATGGGAAGTAAGAACTTGCCGAGAGTGATGTGTAAAAACCATCGATCTGGCTGCCAACACTATTACATGCATCTGATAAGCTGCGCCTTGTTGCAAACATAAAATCTGGAAGTTTCCAGCCCTGAGAATGTTGCAGTATAAATCAGTGCCCAGTAAGTTTTCAAAAAAGATAAAGAAACTACAAGCGAATAAACCAGGCCAAATTAATTGGCAAGGAGAAAAAAATAAATATTTTTAATACAAAATCTTGACTAGCCAGCAGCAATCCAATCGAGACTATTTTAAAGTAGCTCAAAATGGTGAAGTATTATTACCTTCCACCATACATATCCGTAGCCTATCACCCCAATTATAATGATGTAACCATACTTTTTACCACCTGGAAATTGAAGGACATTGTTAAAATAGAGCAGAAAGGAATACAAAACTTCAACATAAAAACTCCAGAGGACCTGATCCTGCTGAGGTAACAATAGTGATGGGTCTGTTTGAAGAAAGCAAGCTCAATTCATGCCTAAGACTGTTAACCTACAGGAAAAATAGAGACAAGACAAGTAAATCTAAGTCCAAGTCCTCCACAAGTCTATCTTATCCAGGCTATATTTTAAAACCTATTTTCGTAAGTAAGTAGTTTAATCTCAATAAAAACCTGGGCCATAAGTGTATCATTGCGGGGCTTGCTGGCTGATTTGGTAGGTTCATCTTGTTTCAGCTGCCTAAATACCATCTATCAAGAGAAATAAACCATTACCCCATTAATAAAAAAGCATCATAAAATACTAAAAGCTTTTGCACAACATAGAAGTTAGAATACCTTAATAGCACCGGAGACAAAACTCGAAACATCTGGTAAGCTCCCTTCTTTAGCAAGCACTGACCCAACAAGACCTAACGTAAAAGCAAGTGAACTGAACATTAAGCATGTGTACTAAAATTAATCGAAACAGTAAGACAGTCATGGGTAAAATTCATCATTCTTGGTGCATTCACAAGGAAATTAAACATAAACTTGTCTTCAAGTAAGCAGAATAATCTCCCTAACACATTCACGAGAGTAAAAACTGTCCCTGTGTTCAATTTCTGATGTTTTCAGATTGGTCGAAGAAACTAGGCGACAGATGAAAACCAGCACACTAAAGGGTCAAAAGACTTGAAATTGGAGCTGAAGAAGATTCGATGATTGAGAGACAGTGAAGCTACAGTGATCATTCTAAAGGGTTTATCAAAAACCCTAATTTTCAATCCTCTTATTTCGATTGCCCATCGACGAACCAAATGAGAACCCGAGAGGAATTCGAGCACCGATTAATCAATTAATCACTAAAACACGAAAAGGCCCAGAAAAGAACGGACCTGCGCCGATGAGGATGGTGAGCTTCCCGAGAGGAATAGCCATGGATGATGGCCTAGAGACGAAAACTCAACCCTGCGAGCTTGTACAGCGATGGATTAAGATGGCAGAGAAAGCCGCATGAGAAGATCTAAGAGAGAATTGGTAGAAGAGAGCTGCGGGAAGGTGCCGGCGTGAAAGATGCACTCTTGCGAGTTGCGACGACGGAGAAAGAGGCGGAGAGGAGAGAGAAAGAGAAGAAGAGGAAGAGAGAGACTCAAAATTGTCTTGTCGAATGGACAGTGTGTTCCTCAAGTGACTTAACAAACAATATTTTATGTTTTTTTTTTTAATTATTATTTTTTCTTATTGGGCCGAGAAAAGCTAAATGGAGATGGAAAAGGCCTTATAAGAATATGCTCTAAGAAGATGCCCATTGAACACTAAAATTTATTAAAATTTATTGAGACTTTGACTCAACTCCAGATAGGAACTTGAGAGGCTGAGAGCAGACCACACACACTACAATGTGTTTTTTTTTGGCTATGAGTATGAGGTATAAGCTTCAAGGAGTTGTCCTAATAATAAAAGTTATAGGTAAGATTTAGTACAAAGGAATGCTAAATAAGAATGTGAATGTATTGAGAGTGAATTAGGTGAATAACCTAAAAACATAATAAAATTAAGAATATAGCATGTTTTTGTTCAAAATTAAGTAACTAACTATACAGGAGTGTGAAAAGACCAAACTAGCTCTACAGAGGAAGAAGCATGTTGACGTGTAACAACAAGAAGAGAGAAACAATATCACTACAGGTGAAATATATTCCACCCTTTGTAATCTTGTTTCTTATATTAATCTAACATCACTAATTTGTTAAATATTGAAATACTATTAAAAACACAGATTTTTTTGTTTATCTAACATAATTTCAATTTTTGAAATCAGAAACAAATTTTTTAAAAAGTGAATAATAACACTATGAAAAACCACCACATTCTATATAGACATGCATAAAATAGAATAGTATACTGTATATTATTTAGTATCTGTTAATTATTCAGCGGTGGTAATAGTAGTTGTGGCGGTGGTTATGATTATAGTGGTGTTGATAGCCATGCAGCGGCGGTGATAGTTGTAGTTGCGTGTTTGTGGTGATAGTGGTGGTCGTGGTGGTGGTGACGGTAGTGGTGACAACGGCGATGGTGGTGGTTGGTGGTGACGATGACGAGGCTTGGTGGTGACGGCGATGGTACGAATGTTAATGAAGACAATGGCAAAAGAAAGAAGAGACATGTGTGTGAAGTGAACTTCACCCAAGGGTAAAAGGTGAAGATGCAGTTATTTTGGTGTTTTGTACTAGTCGTTGAAGTAGTACAGAAAGTAGTACAAGATGTGATTCAGGAAGATGAGATGCATAACTGCTGATGAGGAGCTCGAGTACTTGGATGTTGGAGCGTTTGTTAAGTCAAGGAAAAGGAAAATATCTTTGTTTGAAGACAAAAGAAATCATGTAAGCAAAGAGGAAGTTTGCTTGAAGTGAAAAGGAAATTGGCAAAAAGGAAAACCTTTTCCTTATGGGATTTAGAAATTTTCTCTTATGTGTGATTGGAAGAACTTGAGGTGCAAGTTTCTGTTTATTATATAAGGGGGACGTGACCTTATGAGAAAGCGGATTGGCAAGAGTAAAAATCCCAAGGAGATTCGATGTGAGAGATTGTGTGTGTGATCGTGTGCGACGTAGTTTCGCGGGTTTGTGCTTGTGTGATCAAGCTTTTTTGTGGGTTGGTGTTGAAGGTTCTTGTTGGAGAGTTTTGGTGACCATTGGGTTCGTTGGTGTGACGATTCTTGTGTGGTGGTCGTTCGAGAAACTTTGGAGAAATGAAGTCTAGACTCAGGGGGAGTTTAGCTCAGGGTTAGGTTATCCTGATTAAATCTAGGCTCAGGAGAGTTTAGTTAAGGGTAGAGATTTATCCTTAAGGTTTCACGTTATAGAAGGGAGCGGTAAATCAAGAGGGTTGAGCTTGTTTTACGCGTTTGCGAATTGGTTGTAATTTGCTTTCTTGTTCTAGTGAAATCAAAATCTGGACTTGGTCCCGGGGAGTAGGAAAAACCGAACCTCGTTAACAAATTTCTTGTCTCGTTTACTTTTCGCGATTTACATACGTCATCCGCACTAACAAAAGGAACATATATACAGAAAATACAATCAATATCATTGGATTTTTTTTGAATGGTTAGTTACTTAATTTTAGTTTTTTTGTATTTTATAGCTGCAAATTTTCCATGTATTAAAGGAAAGACAACATTCGATGACATGATTAATCGTTTTTTACATACATATCTATTCCACATTTATATATGATGTCACACCGTATGAACCGTCCGACGTCATGTGACTTTCTACCACATAATGCTTGAGTTTCGATAGATTTCATTTAATACGGAAAGGACCAAATCTTCACCGGCAAAAAAGCAATAGTCCGAAATAGAGTAAGTGAGTAACACATGATAGGAAGAGGGTTTTGCCCAAAATATGAAAATGCAATATAAATTACAAAGACATGAATAAACTATACATTAGTTGCTAAAAATATCTAAACGAGACACTCTTTGAGAAGTGTGCGGTGCCTAATCAAACAAAGACCTCCCCAAAACTTTCTTCCTAAGCAAAAAAAATACTGAGAGTGAGGTTGTTACCACCAACCCAAAAGGAGCCTGAAGCAAAATAACACAGTTTCAACAAGCTAACCAACCCTTAAGAAAATTAATCACAAGAACAGTAATGAGAGTTATGTCTGCATTTTCACAACATAAATCAATCTTTCTTGATACATGTATTTGAGCCAAACGTAAAGTCAAGAATTCACCTTTTCTTTTTTGGGGTTTCCAAAAAAAAAAGAGAGCATTTTTAGCAAACCAAAAAGAAGCTTCAGAGCGATGATGCCTTATTGCCCTTTAGACGTTGAGATTCCAAAGGCTCCAAAAACGCGAATTGAATAAACCCAACACGTCCGGTGTTTTTGCGTTTCATCTCCCGCGTCCGGTGAGTTCTCACGTGGGAATTCATAGGAAGCCATCGGTGGTTCTGTGGTTTTAGCGATGGGTTCTTCCGATATCTCTATAATCTTTGCTCTGTTCTTGTATTTCTTGGATTTGTGGGAGGCAGAGCTCTCGTCGCTAGTGAGATGATCTTCGAAGGTCTCTATGATCTGGTTGATGAGCTCACGGTTAGACGAAGAATCCCATTTAGACCAGTAACTTGTGTAGCAATCGAAACATCCACAATCAAAAAGAGGAACTTTATCATGACTTCTCTTCTTCTTGCTTGATACGAGTACGACGGTGGTGGTGTTGAGTGACCTGGTGATTAAGTAAGCAAGAACTTCCCGATCTTCGGCTGAGAGAGAGAACCGACACCAGAACCAGAATCGCAGCCGCGAGAAGCTTAAAGACAGAGAGAAAGTAATCTTCAATTGAAGACGAAGATGGTGGAAGAGAACGAGTTGGGTGCACTTTACCTTTCTTCATTACTTTCATGGCTGATATTTGAGGAATCTTTATTTTCTAGATAGAGAGATAGAGAGAAGAGAAGAGGAGAGGAGAGAGCTTTCTGTGCTGAATTTTTATTGTTTCATTAATGTCTTTCGCAGATAAGCCCTTTTTCATGTTTATTATACTAGAATAATACCCACGCTACGCGTGGATTTGTTTTAAAAATTGGTAAGAAAAAAATTATGTTAATTGTTCTTGTTGCTAATTTATGTTTACTTTTTTATTATTATTGTGTAGTTAATAAAATTAAATTCATCTTATGTAGTTACAATTTTCATGATTAGATTCATTTTTGACATAAACTATCAATTTATACATTTTTATGTATAAATTTGATTATTTATATTTCAAAGATCCTATTTGTCATCATCATGAATACATACAAAAAAATATAGGATATTTTTATATAATTATATGCAATTATGTTATATGTGTGGTTTGAAACTCGCATAACTTGATTATAAATACAATTTCTTGTTTTGTGTACTCTCCTCATCTAGTACTCTAACGACATTGTGATAGACTCATTACTAAATACTGGATAGATATAAATTGAATAAGATCTCGAGAGTTTTTATATGAAAATAATAAAAAGAAAGCAAAAATTAAAGTGTAATTTAAGTCAACATTTTTAGATCTCTCTCCTTGTATTTGCATATATCTGAGAGAATTGTCGTGTTTTGAATTCTTTGGTATGTCTAACGATTCAAAAATCTATTACTTGAAAAAACATGCATGTCATTGTCAATGTTACCAACTTACCAAAATATACAAAAAAAAAAATAAAGAAGGTCATATGATCGTATATGAACCACAAAACATAAATATAATAAGAAAAGTTTAAGGCAAAATACTAAACTAAGAAGAGGTTAGGTAGCAAATATTTAAACTGTAAAATTTGTCATTATTGAAGAAAAACCACTGATAAAAAAAATTAGTAAAATAAAAAGCGTATAATAAAAATAGTAATTGATATATTGACAAGATTTTTTTAATTTTTAGTTTATTTGAAGAAATCAATTAAAAGTGGTATTGATGAAAGGTTTAATACAATTGAGGACTTTTGATATTTTTCACTTAATTTTATTAATTTTTTATTAAATTAATGCAAAATGACACATGTCATTTTCTTATGTGATGATGTGTCACTCATATGGAGAGAGTTGACCAACTTTTATATATATGGTTTTACTTCTCTAGCGCGTATGCCTCACGTACCTTTTCAAAATGAATTCCTTCTTCTAACAAATTTAAATTAGCTATATCACAATGGTTTCCACACAAATAATGCATAAAAAATGTATTGGTCAATGATATAAGTATATATTGTAATGAGAAAAATATTTAGCAATTAGATGACTGACCTACATTATACACATATACATTATGAAGTCTATTTACAGGTTACTCCTAATATCATGAATCAAGATTCATGAAACATGAATAGTATCCTTTTTCTTTTTTGTTACAACCATCAAATAAATTTCACAATACTCTCAATAATGAGATGAAATCATTTGGGCGATAAAGTATATGATTGGAGCCGACAATCAAGAAGTAGTTTTTTATACAGACTGTTCAGACCTGGTGAAGATGGTGTCTTCCCCAACCGAATGGCCGGCCTTCTCAGTGTATTTAGAAGATTTATAGAGAGACAAAGATGAATTTTTTAAGCTTCTCTTTATCTTTAATCCTTCGAAGTGCAAATGTAAAAGCGGATAATTTGGCGCGAAAAGTTCGCACCGAACCGCATCACATCACATATGTAAACAACGTTCCTCAGGAATGGTTCTTTAAAATTTTTAATTAAAAACTGTTGACAAAAAAAAAAAAGAAAGATGAAATCATTTGGTTAGAGGGAAACAATACATACAATAGTTGCAAATCCTTCAAAAGACCACTTGTGTGAATTGAATAATATTATTATTTGCAAATAACCTTTCACTTAACTATACCAACAAAAACCACAGATATTTGGCAAAGACATAATAACCTTTGGGAGACGTGAAAAGGCTCAAAAATTTGACAATTGTCCTTGTTAACAAATTCGCTCATAAAATAGTGCATCCAAACTCACACTCGTCTAATTCGAAAATGTCATCGTTTTCTTCGTCTCTCTCCTGCCCTACCTACCGCTCCCGCACTTGGTCGTCTCCTTTCTTGTCGAATCATTATCATTCTTCGCTGATCAATGTTGTTGATCCACGCCGGTCACTCTCCTTCCACTACGCTTCTCCTCAGGGGCTTAATCTCGACGAGCTCTGTGTTAGATCGCAGAGGAAGTCCGTTCAGAGTTCTGTTGTCGCGCAAGATGGTAACTTTAATTGGTTTCTCAATTGGGTTTTCTTCTTTATGCCTTGCTTTGCCGGTAACTTGAAAGCTTGTATATATAAATAGGATTGATTTCAGTACTTCATAAATGTCTGCTTGATTTTAGATAGATTTTCTTATACAAAAGTCTCCAACTTTAGACAAAACAATGCATGAAATGAATGCTCCCTAATGTGCTTACAATTGTGTTGTTTAGGCTCAGTAGCCACCAAGTCAAGCCCGGCCGAGGAACCGAAAGATGGAGGCTTGTTAACGATTCCCTCACTTGAAGCTGACAAGGTTGTAGCAGAGTCTGATGGCGGTGAACACCAGTCAACAGTCAGTATCACGGTGGTGGGAGCCTCTGGTGATCTTGCCAAGAAGAAAATATTCCCAGCTCTTTTCGCACTTTACTATGAAGGCTGTCTTCCTGAGGTATAAATAACTTCCTCTCCTTCTTTCTGATGTGATTGTTATATTAATTAATGTGTTAAGCTGTTTTTCATTGCAGCATTTTACAATATTCGGCTATGCAAGGAGTAAGATGACAGATGCTGAACTTAGAGACATGGTCAGCAAAACACTGACATGTAGAATTGATAAGAGGTGAATTATTGTAGCTTTTAAACCACCAAGATATTGGTCCTTATGTTTTCTTTTCTTTGGTACTTTGTCAGAGATCGTTTGTCTAACATTTAACTGTGATGTTTCAGGGCAAACTGCGGTAAAAAGATGGAAGAGTTTCTCAAGAGATGTTTTTACCATTCTGGTCAGTATGATTCTCAGGAACATTTTGTTGCATTGGACGAGAAGCTCAAGGAGCATGAGGTATTGATGTTTTACTCAGCATATTCATTTTTCTTCCTTCCTCATGAATTCTTTACAACCATATTGCATCATTGCCTCATTTTTCTGAAGGCTAATTCAGGTCATGCGTTACCTTGGTAGGTGGGATACATAATTGGAAAAAACTATTATTGTTTGTTTGAAAAATTAGTAAAAACTAGAAAAGTTTGGTCTTCTTACTTTTATTCTTTCCTATCTGTTCTTATCCATCACATAACTATTTGCAGGGTGGAAGACTTTCGAACCGCCTTTTCTATCTTTCAATCCCTCCAAATATCTTTGTTGACGCGGTGAAATGTGCAAGCTCATCTGCTTCATCTGTCAATGGATGGACTAGGGTCATTGTTGAGAAACCTTTTGGCCGAGATGCCAAAACCTCAGCTGCTTTAACAAAGTCTCTTAAGCAGTACCTGGAGGAAGACCAAATATTTAGGTGGAGATATTGTGTTTATGTTATTGTAAATGTTTAATGATGATGGTTTTAGATACCTTGCTGATACGGAAAGTTGATTTTTACAGGATAGACCATTACTTAGGAAAGGAGCTAGTTGAGAACTTGTCGGTTCTTCGATTCTCAAATCTTATATTTGAACCGTTATGGTCAAGGCAGTATATAAGGAACGTGCAATTCATATTTTCTGAGGATTTCGGCACTGAAGGACGCGGAGGGTAATCATTGTTGTCCTCTGTCTGATATTTTATTTCTCCTCTGTGTTGAAGCTTATGTTTTGATACTCTTCTATTCTTTGAATTCAGGTACTTTGACAATTACGGAATAATAAGAGATATAATGCAGAATCATCTGCTTCAGATATTAGCTCTTTTCGCCATGGAAACACCTGTGAGTTTGGATGCAGAGGATATCAGAAATGAAAAGGTCTCCTATTGTTCCCTTTCTTATAATTTTGTTTATTTCAAGGCAGTATTTTGAGATCCTTGCATCAATTCAGGTAAAGGTACTACGTTCAATGAGGCCAATACAACTTGAAGATGTGGTGATAGGACAGTACAAGAGCCACAGCATAGGAGGAGTCACTTATCCAGGCTATACTGATGATAAAACTGTGCCAAAAGGTAGCCTGACCCCGACATTTGCAGCTGCTGCACTCTTCATCGACAATGCAAGATGGGATGGCGTACCTTTTCTAATGAAAGCTGGGAAAGCACTAAACACCCGGAGGTACCAAACTTTGTTATTTTTTTTGTAAATGTTCTGGTTTGCCTGTAATAATATAAATATATCTATTGGAACAGTGCGGAGATAAGGGTGCAGTTCAGGCATGTGCCTGGAAATTTATATAACCGGAATTCTGGTACTGATCTTGACCAGACCACAAATGAGCTTGTCATCCGCGTCCAACCAGATGAAGCTATCTATTTGAAAATCAACAACAAGGTCCCTGGTTTAGGAATGAGATTAGATCGGAGTAACTTAAATCTTCTTTATTCAGCAAGGTAAGTTAAGAAAATAATAAAGACGAGCTTTGAGGTGTTCTTTGTATATGTACTCCTCAACTTTATCAAACCTGTGTTCTTTTTGCCTATAGCTAGTTTCATATACCAATTTTTCTGTTAAAGGTATTCAAAGGAGATTCCAGATGCATATGAGAGGCTTTTGTTAGATGCGATCGAAGGCGAACGCAGGTTGTTCATAAGAAGCGATGAACTTGATGCTGCTTGGGCGCTTTTCACTCCATTGCTCAAAGAGATAGAAGAAAAGAAGAAAATCCCAGAATTCTATCCTTACGGCAGTCGTGGTCCAGTCGGTGCCCATTATCTAGCCGCAAAACACAAGGTCCAATGGGGAGACCTAAGTCTGGATCAGTGAAAGAGTGGAAGAATCAATCAGCATTTTTTGTTCATAGATCCACGTCTGAGAATTTTCATTAATTTGTGTTGGTTTGTGGGGGAGTGGGACCATGGAAACTTTCTTTCGTTTACAGAGATAGAAGTAAGTT